TAAACCGGGCGATGTAGCGCGCGATCCTAGGATACTTTTTACCGCGGGAAAATATCTTATTTCTGAGGAAAAATACAAAAACTGCAATGTAAGAGTATACTAATATGTAACACCTAAGAATTTAGTTTTTGGTCATCTGAACGCGGGCGGAGCCGCGGGCAATGCTAGTTTATATATAATTAACTTGTTTGAGCCCTATCTTATTCTAAACCTAGGTACAATTTCATAAAATTATTCCCTTTGTGAAACGTATAATAGTTTGCATAACAACCAAGGCGTTTGCAAAGCAACGATAGTAACCGATGTACCTATGTCTGGCACAGCACGTTAGCTCTCGTAACTCAGCATTTACGTCACGGCGCACCGCTGCAGGCTGCAGCCTAATAGGAAGTTTAAACTATCGCTAGATCGATTACTTTATGGTAATATTTATGTATATTATTTTATTTTATATTTTTACATACTAAAATTAAATGTCTCTCTGTCCAATGGTTGCCTGGAAGACATCGCTCGCTTTACGATAAGGCCGCCTGTTGTGTTTGTCTTCTTTAAGATAGTAAATATTAAATGATGTTTTCAACAACGCTCATATGTTTTCGTACGTACCTATTAATTAAAACTAGTGATCGCTCCGTAGTTGAAAATCAACCATAATTCAATAAGTTTAATCGATATTGAGGTACTTTTTCCAAAGTTACATAAGTATAAGATAGCCTATAAAATCCAAAAGAATTCTGAAACTGGCCAATAAATTCAGAGATTTGCACGTACAGACAAACAAATTTTCCATATCTATATTATGTAAGTACTCGTATAATATTGATGAAGGTTATCTAACATCATGCTGCATCTTTTAGCAGTGAAGTAATTATATATAAATAAAATACGCGAGCAGATTAGCGGATAAAAAATTGTCAATAAATTTTGGCTTTCTACAGTCCTTCTCTATATAAACTTACTATGCCAACGCTCATACTCGTCCGTACATGCTATATGTTTTAAAAGGGGTTCAAAGTTTTCTCTACACGTATTAATATATAGATTAAATATTTCAATATTTAACTTTATTTACATATATTTATACTATTTCGCTAAGTTCACTTACTGTTATCGTAACTGATGGTCCCTGGATCCATAATAAGTACTTTATGCTTTTAATGCTTTATATTTTATTATGATTGTACAATTGATTTTAATAAAGGGGCATTATCGTGGATATAATTGATCTTTAGACAGTGGTAGCCCAGTGATAACGCGCTCGCTTGGGAAATCGAGTGAAGCGGGTTCAAATCCCGGATCTCACACCTCTGATATTTTCATGTGCGAATCATTTTTAACATGATTACCACTTGTCTTACGGTGAAGATAAACATCGTGAGTAAACTGGCAGTAGACTCATGACGTTCAGTAAAAAATATAATAATTTAATGCTGAATAAAATATTTTGAATTTGAATTTGAAACCTGCATATCTGAGAAAACCTAGCAAGTTTTCGAAAGTGTGACATGTGCAGTCCGCCAACCCACACTTGGCCAGCGTGGTAGACTATGGCCAGATCCCCCTCGTATTGAGGGGAAGGCCCAAGCCCAGCAGTGGGACGTTAAAAAAGTGCTGAATACAATTAATCTTTATTGAGGAAGGTACTCCATCGTCATTGGTCGATTATTTCGTTATAAAATCTACGAAAATATGTTCCCTTTTAAAAAAATCTATTACTGATTTTAATGAAATTCGACAAATATTTAATATTATTATTTTTTTTATATATGAAGGTGGTTTTTGTCCATCTCGTTGTAACTCCCCGCTAAATAGCATTACCTTATGTGTATTTGGTTAAAAAATATTTTCGCGTTATTCATTTACGCAGACATACATACATATATAGCAAGGAAATTCAAAACAAATCAAAATATTTTGTAATCTAACAGACAAACACTTTGACATTATCAAACAAATAAAAACACTTTTGAATATGATGATTAGAATCAAAGTTAAATATAACACCGCGATCTCCTTAATTTAAGAGTGTGTTTCTATATATTTTGTACTGTGTTATTCGAAAGAGGTTTACAGGTTAACGTCAACCGCCTCGGTTTATTTCCATCGCATTTCACAAACGCTCCAGCCGGCCTCTCGTTTACGAGATTTTTTCGACAATAATAACATTTACAGCCGAAATTATGTCAAGATTAGAGCAGCAATCATTTTGAATTATTTAATTTTTTGCTAGAAGTACGTATTAAAATATTATCACGACAATTAAGTTGATATATATTGTAATATTTTACCAATGCCTGCGTATTTACCCGCTTGTACTTTAATAGGACACATACGTAATAAATTTATTAATAATAGTACGACCCACACCCCTTGTTGGAAAATCGAACTTATAACTTGACCATTATTGGGGTTCTGAACTTACGTGGGTAGCTTATATATCAAAAAAGTTTTTCTAAACGTAACCGTATATATATATTAGTTTAAAATCAAATAAATAAATATGTTGGGATATTAACCCGCAGCACCATCTAGTTTCAAGGTAAGCTACGAGGCCTGTGTTATGGATACCAGATAGTTGATACACTACACATATATAACTTTAAATACATACATATTATAAATATAAACACCCATGACTAGAGTACAAGTATTCGTGCTCATCACACAAATGAATCCCAGCGGAACTCGAACCCACGATCGCTGGCGTAGCAAGTAGGGTCACTATAAACTGAGCGAAACGTGTCGTCAAATTGACCAAGGTTAATAGCATCACGATGTAACTTTTAGAAGCGGAATAATTATTATCATAAAAACGCTTCCAGAGCGGAATCACAGGCAAAAACAACTTGATAATTTTAAGCTTTCTGCATATAAACTTTAACTATGTCAAAGCTCATACTCCTACATACATGCATTGATAACGGTTGCGCTATATGCGCAGTGCACTATACCTCAGTTCGTAGGTGAAGTTTTTCTCATTAGATTAATATGCTAGAGCCTAGATAATATAAATTAAGTGATCTGATAAAATCAATTAAACCCACTACATAACATCCATACTTTATTATTTAACATTATAAATGTGAAAGTGTGTTCGTTTGTTTGTCCTTCTTTTACGTCGAAACAGAGAGACGGATTGGCGTGATTTTTTGTGTGGAGATAATTGGAGAGTTTTACCGCGGGAGATCATCTCATTCCCACGGGAAAACACGTTGTAATACAACCCACAACTATTTATTCCATACTAACGGTTAAAACCTACGTAGATATTAAGAAAAACAGCAAGTCGCAGTGATATAATAAATGACTGAGTCTAACGTAACCATGAACAATAAACTTTACAGTAACTTTCAAATAATGCTGTTAAGTAACAATGAAGTTTGCAACAAAAATATATAATTTAAATGACAAAATGTTTGTGTCACTGTAAACATAATCAAATTCGGAATGAGGTCAGCCAACTCTGGCCCCAACTCACTGTACACTCGCGAACAAATTACAAAATATAGTATAAACGCTGCACTTTTTTATACTGTATTTATGTAAATGTATTTATTATAGAAAAAATCCTTAATATTTTGTAGCTTTTCTATTGAAGAACGTTGGTGGAAAGCTATTTAACATTATGCTTCGAACCTAAATAACAATTATCTTTACATAAATATACTTTACATAAACTGTAAAAAAATTCAAATAAATCCGGTATTTTTAAAAAAGTTGCGCGTTCGAGCAAAAAAACACAAACATCTCAGCTTTACATATACACTGTCTGCACATAGAAGAATTTTAAGAAAAACTATTACTGGGTTTGGGTGGTTAACGCAATACAACCCAAAAATTTTGTCGGTTTGTCCGTGCGTTTGTGCGCACTAATCTCAAAAACGGCTTAAGCCATTTGGGTGTAGTTTTCACTAATGTATTGTATTAAGCTTCACTTAACATTTAGTATTTGTTTTATTTCAATCGGTTCGTAAATAAAAAAATTATGTCATTATCTCCTAGGGATGAACCTGAGCGAAGCGAGAGTGAGTCGCTAGTATCCCATATATGTATATAGAATATACAATCTGTTTCTTTAATCACAATAGTGATATGTAATAACATACGATATAAATACAAAAAATGAAGCTTTTATGTAACGAGTCATGCCCGCTCGGAAAAGCGATTTGTAGAAATGCTAACTGCGTTCCCGTGCTAAATTACATCGCTAATTCCTCGAAGGAATCAAGCGAGCCAGAAAAATATATTCTATTTTTTTAGGGTTCCATCTTACTTAACGAGAAGAGTTTGTCGGTAAATATTATGTTCAATTCAAGATTTTTATGGCTTTTACGCTCGCTAGTAGAGATCAGATTATCTGCCAAAGACAAGATGAATGGAGAAGACACGAAAGTCTTGATTATTATACGAGTACTCATGGTCTATATACTTAGAGTGTGGTGGTATGGTTAAACTTTCATGTTCACAAATATTTGGATGTATATCATGTTTTTCAACATCAATGTTATTTCATAAATCAAAATGAAAAACACGGTAACTTATTTGAAAATAATATTCGTAAAATGTATTTTTTTTTAGTAAAATTATCTGTTCGGATTTTTCCGCAGATTTATTTTGATATTTCGTTCGATGTTTCGAATGCTTTACAGCAATCATGGTCACGGGAGAGACTAAGGTTACGTCGGTATGATAAGCAAAAGTCGGAAACCAAAGATATATTATTTTATTTTATTTTTTTAATGTAAGAGGGACAAAAATGGTGTGAAAAAGAATTTATTTATGAAATTATTTTGGGTAGAAAATAAAAAATATAAAATAGCTCGATCTTAATAAAGTTCAGAGGTTGCTAGATTTTTCTCTTGCAGTACCATAGAGTCGACGTTGACATCTTGTGCGGACTAAAGTTAGATATAATAGTAGCATTTATACGAGGGCCATTGGGCTGGCTAAATGCCAACCTCATCGTATGTAGTCATTTCATTAGAAACAAGTTTATATTAATAGCTATTGTTTGTAAATTCTTTCTGAAATAATTACACAAAATCTTATTAGAGGAGTGCTATCTTAGATGTTATTTAAATGTGAAACGGACTGGCCAACGATCTCGTAGTGAAGGAAGAATTTATTTAAATAAATGTCTATTGATAGCAGTATAAGCTTGTTATATATATATAATTGATGTCTGTATCTATATAAATGCGAAGGTTTGGATGGCTGGATGTTTATTACTCAATCACGCCAGAACGGCGGAACGGGTCTGGATGAAATGTGGCACAGAGATAGATTATAGCCTAGATTTGCATAGGCCACTTTTAATTCCAGAAAAATGTACGATTCCCATGGTCATGAAATACAATTGTTTTTGTTTTTTACTAGGGACGAACCCGAGCGAAGCCAGGGTAGACCGCTAGTACGATATAAAAATAACGAAGTAATGGGTTCAAAAATAGTTTCAAAACTTTAATATTTTATCTGACGAATGATAATTATACCCATAATATAGATAATGAGTCATTGGGAAATATTAATAATTTTGTACTGTATTTCATTTCATTCGTAAATAGCTCTGTTTGTATTAAATGAATTGTTTATACTGGTGAGGTACCTACAGTTGTTTATCTTTTTTTACGTAAAACAAACCATCTCGAACTGGGTCCGTCTAATTTCCATGTATGGAATTAGATATAGTTGTCATTAATAAATTATAATAATACATATATCTTAATAAAATAGAATATAATTGCAGTAGAAATTCTTTGGCCTTATAATTGAAGTGCTCAACACTTTTTAACAAAGTTACCACCTCGTCTTATTGCCTCTACTGCGACAAAAGAGCTATGATCGTTTTTCGTCCACAGGATCAGCATTCAGCCGGAAATTGCATTTACTATTATTGCCATAATTCCGCGCGAATATGAATTGTGCAGAAATAATTAAGTGTTCATTTGTATTGTATATATAATTAAGTATATTTTAAATCTCTAGTCATTAGCTCTAGCTTTTATAATAGTTTTAGCTTTGGATTTGGAAATTAACCACTTAAAGCCTTGACGCGTAACTTAAATAAACATATTTCATAGATATTATAGTTAGATATAGATCATAGACAATAATACAAATCGTAAATAATGACACAACCTAAAACGACTTAGATTTTTTGCATAGGTATATGTATCAAACATAAAAACAAGTAACATAAATCAAAAAATATGTAAATTGAATAAATAAAACTGTATAATATTTTTCGTTAGATAGTGTGACTCTCACACTTGCTGAAGTAGAAGACTAACGAAAAAAGGAACGTGAAATACGATAATTAAATATTTAAGTAATATATATATATATACTTTCCATATTTATGAAATGAAGCTTACCTGAGTATTTCTAGTAAAACCATATCCCAAAAATCGCTCATCATGTGCAGGCACAGTGTCCGGCGCCACGTAGAACGGTTCGTATAAGAGTTCAAAATTGGTCACATTGTGGCTGATATGAGTGTCCAATGTCTCGTTACCTCCAGAGGATTCCCATCTGGAAGAAGTTTCTATTAAAACACACTTGAACTACTATTATAAATGTAAAAGTTTGTATGTGTGTGTGCGTGTGTGTATGTTTGTTTCTCTTTGATTTAGATAAAACTTTAAACACTATAGACAGATAGAGGTTACTTTAAAGCACCTAAGGACGCGAAACTAGGGTAAGCCGTTAGTAGGATATAGAGCATTCATTTGTTTTTACAAAACACCTTACTAATTCTGCCCTAAGTTTAGGTAAAAGAACATTCGAGAGATGCATCACGTCCTTTTATTTAAAAAAAAATAATTTGTTTTTTATGAATTTCTAACTTTCAACTTGCAAATTAAACATTTTCACATTCTTTACACCGTTCTAGAGGAACGGAGAGAATGTACTTATGTGCTCTACGCTACATTTCTCAGCTATTTAATTATATACTGCTTAATTTTATCATTTCCAGCTTTACTTATTTCCTATATCTTGCTTTGCTTTTTATTAATTTTTTACTCGATCCATTAAAACAATCTTCAAAAATGTAATAAATCAAATATGTAAGATAAAAATCAAATAAATATGAGCACAAAATTTAGGTCACGTTTATAAATCTTACCTCGAAAAATTCGAAGCATACTGGTTATAAATAAACACTTTTCTATGAAACGGTATAGCTAATTTGTTTCTCGATAGTCTTAGCAGCTCCGACTTGTTCGCCGGAAAATTTGCCACGCGCTTGTCTAACTCATACGTAGGCACCACATAAGCGCAGAGAGGACACTTCGGAGCTTTAGCTAGAAAGCTGTCTAGAGCTTCCGCCATCCCACGGGATGGGACAATATCAACATCCACGAGAAACACATAAGGTGTATGACAGTTCCTTCTAGCCAAATTTCTTAAATGATTCTGTGGATATGGGTGTCTCGCTCGCCAGGCGACGGTATCTGCTCGTCTTTCTCCTGGGGGTAAAGGGGCAGCTTCACAATTTTTGGCCCAATTTGGCATACTACCCTGGATGCCCGGTCGATCTGCTGGTGTAGCGGCATGCAACGCTACTCTTGAATACACATCTGGTTGACAACGAGAAAGCCAAGTGGCAAACGCCCTCAAGAGCCTCAACTCATCCCCAGCAACAAACACTGCGACTGATATAGGACCAGACCAGTGCGCTGCTATTCTTAGCAATTCGTGTAACCTTTCGATAGAACTCTGCGTCGCCAAACAAACGCGGCGATTAGCTGATGCCTCAGCATACATATCCCCGACTGTAGCGTAATCGAACATTCTATAAGATCTTGAACTGTCCCATCTGCCTAGACGTAAGTCGAGCCTGGCTATCGGGTCATCTTCGATAGCCATTACTTGTGCAGTGTCCACACAAGGCTCGCAAGTAGGTAGCTCGCTGGTGGGTGGACTGCTCCTCATAGTGCAGGGCGGGGGACTCAACAGCCACAGATTGGCTGCAGCGTTGTATACAACCAATGCGACGGCTGCTAGCGTCACAATGCTCCATTGACAACGCCAACGCCACTGAAATAAAATAAAAACTATGAATTATGTACATAAAACAATCTAGTTAACCTAAGCTAATATAAATCATAAATCGAAATTATTATCTGTTCACTTAATTTAACTTCATTCTATTCAAGTACTTGATGTTTTTCGAAAACAATAGATTTTTTTGAACAGTTGGATATTTTTTTTTTCAAATATTGATATTGATTTATTTGAACTATATACCAAAAAGATAAATTAAATTAAACAAAAAATTAACTTACAATTTTATCCCGCCGCATCTTCATTATGGGTCGCTGCCAAGTGGAGAATCGCATCGTATTGCTACCTCATTATTTCCATCCTTGTTTCTCAAATATAAATGTTTCCTAAAATAAACGTATTTACGAATAATTTAATAACAATTTTATGAAGAAATTTATAATAAGTAGAGTAAAGAATATAGATTCATTTTTTTTTAGTGGCAAATATTATTGAAAATATTTACCTCTTGTTAAATAACAGAGTAAAGAAATCAAAAAATAATTGCAAAAATTAAATGCAATTTTTAATAAATATGTACTTACGTTTTAGTTTAAAAATCATTACAGTTCTTGTTTATGGCTCTTAACTTCCGGATTCTAATAACAACTTCCGCTTATAATAACTCTTAATTAAATAATACTATATTTTACTAAACACTTGTCACTTTATAACCTGTACAATAAATTTATTAAATTTCTACTTTTAACAATCTAGTAAACGATCTTCGTAAAGTATATACTATATATATTTACTCGTTCAAAACATTTAAGTTAAATATTATATGATTTATCGAATAAAAATAATGAAAACACACATCGGGTGGTATTTATGAGTTGTTAACAGCGCATGCGCTAATTTTAGACCTGCGCAATGATAGATCAAAATTTATAAGTTTATCATAATACCACGACGATTTTCTTTTTGCCCACAAAGTCATAAACAAAAACACATGAACTCCTCAAGTGTATTTTGCCCATAGTATAAGGTCATTAATATAAGATAAATAACTGCAAAATCTACTTTATGTAATACTGTACTACTTTCCGTATTAAAATAATAACTAATAAATATAATTGTAATATAACTAGAAATCTTGTTATATCAACTGAAACCAAAATAGAAGTGAATTTCTGTGCTTGAAAAATTGGTTTCTAGCAAGGTGTTAATTATAACGGTGCCATACAAATAAAATAAATCATTTAACTTCATTGGCGGACCTGGTGTATAGCTGTTCTATCTATACTTATTATAAAAATAAGTCCCCCGGCCGCGTCTTTCTGTCCTCCTGTCTGTCTGTACGCGATAAACTCGAAAACTACTGAACGGATTTTTATACGGTTTTCAACAATAGAAAGAGTAATTCTTGAGGAAGGTTTAGGTATATAATTTATTATGCTTTTATGTAAATTAGCTGAAATACGGCGACAAATGTTGAAGAGGTCGCAAAAAATCTCGCCAAATGGGAACTTTCCACGCGAACGCCGCGTAAACTAGCAAAGATACAGTTAAGTAATGTACTAGAGAATTCAAAATCTATAAAAATGCTACAAAAAAGTCCGCGATAGCATATCTCTATCTCTTACGGTTGACTTACAATAACCACTTTTATGTTAACATTTTTAATTAAAAACATTACGTTATTTTCAAAGTTATTTTCTTTAGTTCGGTATTAATCTTTATCCAAATGAATATTTTAGTTAGCTTAGTCATTTAATGCAGATTAAAATTGCTCTTTACACTAAATCAATCAGATGAATAGTTTTTGAGATATCGTTGTTAGAAGTAATTAGTAGCGAAACATTTTTAATGCTTGGCGAGCATTGAGATGCCTACGGCGAGTCCATCCCCTCTGCCCCGCATCGCTCGACCGCCTGCTCAAGCTATATAAACCGGGCGATGTAGCGCGCGATCCTAGGATACTTTTTACCGCGGGAAAATATCTTATTTCTGAGGAAAAATACAAAAACTGCAATGTAAGAGTATACTAATATGTAACACCTAAGAATTTAGTTTTTGGTCATCTGAACGCGGGCGGAGCCGCGGGCAATGCTAGTGCTAATATAAAATATCAATAATACTATGTTCAATGCTAAAGGTTGCAGCCTGCAGGAGGTCGCAGTTTCGACGCCTAGTCAGATTAATTATTCGTATTACTCATATGAATATTAATCTATCCTGGATAAGTAGGAAAGTGCAGTCTTATTTTTTACTATTTGTACAAAAAAAATACATTTCATTTAAAAATGATTGTTTAAGTATTCTTCAAAAGAATAGGCGTTATTGTTTATAAGTTACAATTAGGTATGGAATATTTCATGAGTAGCAAGTGAAAAATCATATGAAATGCGTTTTCATACGTCGCACCTGCTCCTTAAGTTCACATTGACTGCTACAAACTTACGATCAACTACAATGGGTATATACAATATAGATCTAGGTTAATACTATAATCTATACTAACATAATAAAGAGACAGAGTTTATTTGTTTGTTTGAAAGCGCTAATTGCTATTGATGTATTAGTTATATTATTGTAGTTTCGTTAAAATCCATTCAGTAGTTTTTGCGTGAAAGAGTAACAAACATTCATACATCTATACAACTAGACACTAAGAAAAATCCATACATCTCACAAAATTGTGCATTTATAGATTATTATTACTGAGTAAAAAAAGCGTGCGTAGGAACGAACCCGAGCGAAGCGAGGTTGAGTCGCTATTATATTGTAAATAATAACAAGAGAAATAGAAATATATGACGATACTTCGATATTTTATAAGGCAAATAACAATTTAACTTTCATAATTAATAAAGTTTTTTTATTTTTAAAATTGTATACATACAAATGCTATCTTTGCCCATAAATTATAAAAAAGAATAATCTGTCACATTTACATTGGCAAATAAAGTGTCAAAAGTGACAGATCATATGGTATATTTTTGGTGGCCAAAACTATAACCTCCTTTTTTTGGTGTTTTTAGTTTTATATCAATGCAAATTGTATTGTTGCCTTAGTTTTATATATTATATGAATATTTAAAATGTTCAAAATACCTGAGTGGGAAGAAGATATTCCAAAAGATAAGCTTAATTTTAGTAAAAAATCACCGGTAAGCTATCTTATTATTATAGCTAATATGTACGAATGTTATTTACTTTTTATTCATTCAAATTCTACAATATCACCACTTTCGTAACTTATTTCATTAAAATGTATAATTCAATTCAATTGTCTTCTTTAATAGCTCCAAAGCATGCCAGTTGGGCACAACTATGTTTATTTCATATACAAATTACAAACTTCTCCTTTTATTAATACTACTAGCATCATAATATGTCAATATATATGGCAAAGTTATTATTCTCATTTCACAGAAAAACAAAGGGAAAAATAAAAACAAAAATATAAAACTACCAAAAGTCAATAAACAAAATGGTTTAAAAGTAGACTTGAAACCTAAGAATAAGTTAAAACTAAAATCTAAGTTAGTATTGCCTACAACTGATTATGAGACTAAAAATATTATAAACTGTGCAGAAATCCCAAGACAAAAGAAGCATAAAAAGAAGGCACATAATAATGTAGAAAATAATGTGTTGAAAAAATTAGAGACTAATATAGTTTTAAAGAATTATGACTCAGATAAATTAGATGAGCTGATTCTTGATGAAAAGAAGAAAAAACTTAACCCACACAAAAATGATAACATTGAAGAAATGTTATTTCAGGAAAACACTGATAAAATTAAAATTAAGAAGAATATTGTCCTAAATGGAAAAATTAATAAAGCTGAGAAGTCCAAAAAAATGAAAAATAGTCTTCAATCAAATTTAAAAAAATTAATTGAAAATACCAAAGCCTCAGAAGTGGCAGGACAAAATATTGAAATAAATATAAATGCACCTAAAAACATAAAAGAAGTGCTAATTAATGAAAATACAGAAAAAGTTGGATATAAAAATAATGAGAATAAGAATGCTCTTGAAGAAAACACTAATAAATCTAAGAAATCAAAGAAGAAGAAAAACAAACTAAAATCAGATATAGATGAATCTAAAGCCTTAGGCACATCTGAACAAAACAATGACATAAATATAAAAGCTAAAATGAATGAAGAAGAAAATAACAAAAATAAAGAAAATAAAGAAGAAAAGAAGAATAATGTCCTAAATGGAAAAATTAATAAATCTAAGGAATCAAAGAAAAAGAAAAGTAAGCTTAAATCAAATGTTGAAGGTTTTATTAAAGAAACAAAACCCTTAAACAATTCTGGACAAATGATTGATATTAATGTAAAGTCCACTAGATTAAAAGAAACCATGCCAACCTTAAAAGGATCTAAACCTACAGTCAATTCTGAACGAAACATTGATGCAAGTGCAACACATAAATCAAAAAAGGAGCGAAAGAAAGAGGCTATTAAATCATTATTACAACAACAACAACAAGAAAGTCATAGAAATTCTATTAATATCAGTGGCAGTAGTACATTAAGAGAGAGAATGATGGAGAGATTGAAAGGTAGTACCTTTATTTCATATGTAAAATATGCTTAAATTTTTATTATTCTTAATACAAATCACATTTATGTTTTCTTGAAACTCAAGAAAAAACAAATATTTGTACTAATATAACGACTAGTACCTGGGCGACCAAACTTCGCTTGGCGCTATTTTTTTTTAGAAAATCGTATTTTTTTCAAAAAGATATAAAAATTGATTTTTCAGAAAAGACATACAAAGCAAAACCTAACCTAATTATAAAATTATATCCAAATTGTTAACAGTTTTCAAGATACACAATATAAAATATACATACATACAAGAATTGCTCTTTATTATAAGATACATTTTTAAAATTTAATAATAATACTTATTGCTAAAATATTTTAGCTGCCAAATTCAGGTATTTAAATGAGAAGTTATATACATCATCAGGGTCTGACGCCCAACAACTCTTTCAATCAGACCCTGAAGCATTCCAAACTTACCATGAAGGCTATCAACAACAAGTAAAGAAGTGGCCTGTTAAACCACTTGACATAATTATTCAAAGGATTCAGAAAATGTGAGTAACATTAAGTAAATCATATAACACATTAGTACCTGGGCCACCGAGCTTCGCTCGGAGTTTTTGTATATATAATATATATATATATATATGTAAAATAGTATTTAAATGGATGAGATTATTAGTTTTAAACTAAAGCTGTTTATCTGTGTGCATAACTCAAAAACTTCTCTAAATAAATTATATGTGAGCTTGGATATTTAAATAAAAATACACTGATATCTCCTAAAAACAGTAATTTATTGTCATAGGCCTAAAACCCACAAAATAGCAGATATGGGCTGTGGTGAAGCAGAGCTCTCAAGACGTATATCCCAACCAGTGAGGTCCTTCGACCTGGTGTCCACAGCCCCCGGGGTAGAAGCCTGTGACATGGCGCACACACCGCTGCTGGCCAGTTCTATGGATGTAGCGGTGTACTGCCTGGCTTTGATGGGGACAGACCTCACTCAGTATTTGGTTGAAGCTAATCGGGTACTTAAAATTGGGTAAATACAAAAATCATTTTTGATATTTTAGCATTTAGCCATAAATGATTATGCTATTTTTATCTAGATCTACCTAGTTAGTTTAATTATTTGACATTTTAAATAAAACTATCTTTTCGAAGTTTTTCGAACGGATTTTTATTTTTGTTTCCCCGCATTTCAATTGCTTTACAGCATTCTTCTTTCGCTTGACCATGATTGCTGTAAAGCATTTGAAACGTCGGGAACCAAAAATCCAAATAAATCCGTGAAAAAATTCGAAAAGATAATTTTAGTTAGAGTAAGTTTTTTAATTTTATTTTATGTAATATTATTATTTAAAAAAATAGTAGTATTTAACCTTATTACAAATTATTATTGAATATTTAAATACAGACAGAGAGAAAACAAGAAAAATTCATAATGAAATTATTATTGTACACAGTGGTCACCTCCTGATAGCAGAAGTTGAAAGTAGGTTCGACAATGTTGAGGCATTCACTAAAGAAGTACAAAAGCTGGGTTTTAACCTCAAGAAGCTCGACAAAAGTCAAAAAGTTTTCTTCTTCATGGAGTTCACTAAGGTGCGGGAAGCCCCCGTAAAGAAAGCGAAACTTCCCACATTGACATTGAAACCATGTATTTATAAGAAACGGTGAATAAATGCATGTTAATGACAATTGTGTTTGTTTTATTTTTTATTAAATAATTATATAATATTTTTAACATTATAATAAAGATATTATCCCGCAGTAAAAAGTATCCTGTATGTTCACCCAGATATTACCAGCTAACATCATAACAAATTTTATCAAACTCTGTCCAGTGGTGCGGTCACAGACAGACAAACAGACAAAAATTCTAAAAACTATAGATGAAATGACTCTTTCAATAAGATTTTCCAAAAAATATTTAATGCACAGATTCGACTGAGAATTTTATTATATGTACAAATAAATAAATAAAAGCCAATTATAATAAATATTATCTCTTTAATTGCATAACAAAAATATTTTATATATTTTTTTATTAGTTATCAACTTATCACTGTACAAATTTTCTAACAGGTATATTTATATAAAGCTTTACAAGTTTAAACCTTCCATGACGTCCTCGGCCTCTGCACGTAAATTTTCAACCTTTTCGATGAGCATTACCTGAAAATCAAATTTTGAGTTAATATCTCAGACTAAAGAATTATATAGAGGGAGCCTGCGAAAAAAAATGTTTCAATCCAAAATATTAGCATAATTTTCTGTTTATGCTATTACAACAGGTCGGTTACATTCTTCAAAAATAATGGGAATTTTATAGAGGTTATCTTTCTTAGGTTTAAGCCAATATTTGACATTTTTAATAGAACTATTTTATCAGCTTTTTTCGCGGATCTATTTTGATTTTTGGTTCCCGACGCGACGTTTCGAATGCGTTACTGCAATCATGGTCACAGGAGGTCACTTACAATATTTATTAATCTAAATTTTAAACATTTTTATAATCTTAATAAGTGTCATATTTGAAAATTGTGAATAGTAGTACTAACTTTAGCGGCGCTGACGAGGTGCTCGGCGGCGGAGCGCGAGAGGTGCGGCAGCGCAGCGGCGAGGCGCGCGGGCGCGGCGCGCGCCACCTCCTCCACGCTCCTGTAGCCCGCGCGCAGCAGCTGCAGCGCGCGCGCCTGCTCGCACACATACGTTTCATATATTATTATTGATATGAAATGAACCTTTATTCAAATAGACTTATTACAAGCACTTTTGAATCGACAATTTAGTTGTCAGTGCAGTCAGTCCGTGAGGAAGCTCGGAACGGAAGCAGCAGTTCGGAAAGCAGCTCTGCTGAAAGAACCGACGAGAAACTCAACAGTTGCTCTTTTAAATATCGTTTTTTTTTTAATATGTTGAGACATTAACGCATAGCACCATCTAGGTCCATGGTAAGCTATGAGGCTTGTGCTATGGATACCAGGTTTTTTTTTTATTAAAGATGGACTCACTCTTGACCTTCATCTTAGCTTGAAGGCATAGATTATATTTTTTTCTTTCTTACAGATGTTGTTGTGATGTAAATAGTATATTCCCAAAAGGTTTTCAGTAAATTAAAAATGACCCTGTATATTGACACACAAATATTTGTGCTCATCATACAAATGAACGCCCCCAGCGGGACTCGAATCCGCAACCACCGGCACAGTAAGTAGGGTCACTACAAACTCAGCCAAGCGTGTCGTCAAGTTACATTTATTTATATGGGACATAGTTCTCCATCAACAATGACCTTCTTAACAGCAGGCAGCTCCATAAGCAAGTCCAGGCCCGGCGCGGCGGCGCTGCGCAGGCGCGGCGCCAGGTCGCGCAGCAGCGCGGCGAAGGCGGGGCGCCGCAGCGCGTCGCACAGCGCCGCCGCCGCCGCCGCGCGCGCCGCCGCCGCCGCCAGCTGCGCCTGCGCCGTGCCCACGCCCACGCCGTACCTCACATATACCGTACAATATATACTCAGTCTCCACATGTGTTTTTTTTGGGAAATGCATTGAAGCATACCACCTATATACATACAGTTAGTGGGAAGATGGTCTAGTGACTAGCATGTACGACAAACCTGGAGGTTTTGAGTCGAGCCAATTCAATTATTGAGTACTGCATGCTGTCAAGAAATTCTCAGTAACAGCCTAGAGTTGGAATGTTGGCGGTTTTTCACCCCCGTGCCCAGAGGAGCAGTAAAGCCGTCGGTACTGCGCCTAACTCTCGCTTGTCGTGTCGAATATATCTCGAGTATGAGAATGACAGGAATAGAGAGTGCACCTGTACCTGCGCTCTCTCTCACACACGCTGCACTATAATATCTCCTGCGGCTAGTCTCAGTGAGATTGACAACCGCAGCCGAAATCGGGAGGACATTATTATAAAGTAATGGCTTTAAAATTAACAAGTAGAACTGTAACTTGAACGAATGCACCACATTGCTTTAATTTCAAAATCGTTCGTCATGAAAATTTACATTTTTGACAACCCTTGAATTTGACAATATTTCCATTAAAATCAATCGACGATCACCTATGAAAGAGATTTTTATACTATACTACGAACTACTCTCTATCTAATACGGTCTGTAGATATAGCTATATTAGCATTCTACAAGCAGTTTAAAGTGAGGGTATTTAGACTGTAAATTACATTAGTCGACTAAACTAAAATTAGTTTCGTCGTATGGTCACATATTTACATAGATGGTCACACCTACATGTGTCTCTATTTCATCCCAAATACATATTGAACTGAACAGAATGAATAACACTATAGAATAATTCTTAAACTTTTTTTATCTATAGATACAAATATTATTAAAAGAAAAGAGAGATTTGGTCTATTTTATTTTATAATGGATAAACTCTGAAACTAGTGACCCTATTTTCATAAATATTTCACTCAAGAACTCACTTTTCAGCCACCGTCGGGAATGGCACCTGCCTGCAGAGATCGCGAAGTATCAAAGCCAAATAGAACCTGCACAACACGCTTTCTGGAACATTCTGTAACACAAACAGTAACATTTTAATGGAGAACAATTAAATGTTTTGTTGTTAGGAAACAATAATTAATTTTAATTACCAAATTTGATTTTAGTTCGAAAAAAATCCTGGTATAGTAACAGTATAACCACGATTATATTTTATTTACTAACTAGATTCACTCTCGCGTCACTCGGGTTCATCCCAAAGTTGCTTCTCCATACAAACTTTCATCCCCATTAATAATAATGATAAAAACTATCCTATGTCCTTCCCAGGGATTAAACTATATTCTTGCCAAATTTCATACAAACAAACAAAAAAACCTTTCCTCTATATTATTATTAGTATAGATAATATAATTCAAATCCCCGGAGAAATAATAATACTATAACACGATATAATTCAATATGTATACAGAATCGAATTAAGAATCTTCTCCTTTTTTGGAAGTCGGTTAAAGCCAATGGTAAAAATCCGCCATAACACGATATCTCTATAGCCATATATGAAAGCAGATCTCACCGTGATGGGTTTGCCGGTCATCATTCTGATGGCGTTCATTTCCGTAATGCCCAGCACTTTAGCCGTCCGCACACCCTCCTCGTCCAACTCGCAATACTATAATTAATATATATATAAATAAAAATATTTCAATTTTATAATAAAATTAATTATTAAATGATTCACTAAATGTTCAATTCAAATACGGATTGATTTAATCCCGTGGTGGGCAAACTTTTTTAAATAGGGGGGCCACAAACTAAGAGTTAAAGTGACAGTTAAGCTAAGCGACAGTAAAACTAACTCACAGTTATACTAACTAGCCGTTAATCTATCTTACTGTTAGTCTAACTGACAGTTAAACTTACTGACAGTTAAACTTACTGACAGTTAAACTAACTGACGGTTAAATTAACTGACAGTTAATTTAACTGACTGATGGTAATCTAACTGACTGATTAAATGGTACTAAAATGAATGAAATATATTTCATTATTATTTTTTTGGAATTATCTCAATACTTTGAATGTAAACACCGGTGACGATATAATCTATTACAAAGAACTGGTCGTCCAAGTTTAATAATACTTTATATTATGTTTGGCCCTTTTTAAGGTCCCACTGTTGGGCCTTCCAATACGAGGGGGATCAGGCCATAGTCCACCACGCTGGCCAAGTGCGGGCGGACCTGGCAAGTCTTTCGAGAACTTGCCAGGTTCTGTCAAACATGCAGGTTTCCTCACGATGTTTTCCTTCACCATAAAATAAGTGGTAATCATGTTGGAAATAATTTGCACATGAAAATATCAGAGGTACGAGACCTGGGATTTACTCAGTTTCAAAAGCCAGCGTGTTACCACTGGGTTACCAGATAATGATATAGTCTTACCAAAGAATAATATTGCCTATAATCCGGCCTAATCCCGGAGTCCGGCGCCGCCACCAGGTACAGCAGGTGCAGGCTGCCCAGCAGCACCAGGCTCCTGGACGCCACTTCCATGTCCTCCACTAGCTGTTTTGCTGTGCTCAGCTCCATACACCCTGCGATATAATACTTTCTTAGTTTTACGCAAATAATTGACATTTTAATTAAAAATAAATCCGAAAAGATAAAACTATCATTTTATTTGATTTTTTCGCTTTATATTAATTTTTGGTTCCCGACGTTTCGAATGCTTTACATCAATCATAGTCATGATATAAAGACAACGAAGTCGACGAAGAGTCGGTTTTAGACGTCTAGGTCATTATATAGTTACCACCTTAACCTTACTTACTTTACTTAACTCACAAAATACAAAAATGGCACCAAAGCCCATGATTGCTATAAAGAATTTGAAACATCGGGAACCAAAAATCAAAACGATCGAAAAAACCCGAAAAGATAGATTTAAAACCTGGGATATGTCATGTTTTTAATACTAACATTCACGTTAAGAGCTTTTTAGTCTGTACCATGAACCATGTAATTTAAATTTTCAGCAAACAATATTAGAAGGAAATTGTTTTTTAAACACTATAACATATTAACCGTTCGAAAACACCAAAACATTTCTAAATAAAATGTCATTTTTAAATTAAATAATCTAAGAAAGTATTATAACATCAAAACAATTTTTATCAATCATATTTCAAACGAAAATATATATACGAACCTTTTATAGCAGCTAACCCCAAAGTACTGACCGCGAGCTCAAAATCTCCACTCTCAGGGTTGGCTTTACCCACTACTTCGAGAGCTTCGCTCTTTATCAACGACTGTATAGCATCGTCGCATACTTGATCTATGTTTGTTGATCTAAAAAAACATTGATAATTTATCATATGGCCATGGCTAATAATTGTGAAATCAAAGCACTATAGTGCCATGACTAATACCAGATAACGTCAGCCCTACAGTCTTTTCCCGACTGTCATATAAAAGTAAGTATGACAGTCGGGAGACTCTCCCCCCGCATGTCCCGTACGCCCTGTGAGATTGCCGTGTCTAAACACTAATAAATAATAAATAAATAAATACGTTGGTACATTAACACACAGCGCCATCTAGTTCCATGGTAAGCTACGAGGCTTGTGTTATGGATACTAGATAGTTGTTACACTACACATATATAACTTTAAATACATACATATTATAAATATATATAATATTATATATATTTACAATATGTAAGTATTTAAATTTAAAAATATAATATGCACTAGTATATACTCGAACTATGCATATACTACTAGTCTCGGTAGTTAACTTGGTTGCAACTGACAAACCCTGTCTAAACACCTTCGTTAGACGACAGTGTGGATTAGTAGTATTGGGTTTTAGCTATATTTTAGTAAAATTGAGTAAGACTTCTTATATTTTGAACAAATATTTATTTCATGTATGGAACACAACATTATTTTTTCAATGATGACATTAAAGAGAACACAAGCCCCACGCACGGCCAGGAAACGAACAACCAGTATGTTTATAAAGATACATTTAAATTTATTTATTTAACAAGTAGACTATGGCACTACTCACGGGTCTTCCGGCGCCACAGCGAGCAGCGTGGCCGCCAGCAGGCGACGCAGCGAGGCCACGCTGGTGGCCATTTTCAAAGCCACAGCGCTCAGCACCAGCGACGTGGCGCCGCGCGCCAGCGCCGAGCGCACCGGCGCCAGCCCGCCGCCCAACACGGCGCGCAGCTGAGGCCACTCGTGTGCATCGCATATTATTATACTGTCACCTAAGTAGATGCGATTTATTATTATTTTATATTGTTATTTGTACATTTGTTGTTTATTATGAAGTGGGTTATGTAGTTAGGAAGTTGATAAATAAGGGTAATGTTAGTAACATTAAAGTTAAAGATATATTATAATTTTGAATATATATAAAAGGTAAAAATACACATATCCATTATTTTATTAATAAATATAATGATAAAAAAAATTGTGATCGTTTTTTATCAATGTCAATAATATTAAAGTAGTTAAGTTTAGTTTTAAGTGTAATAATATATTACTTAAAAAATTAACATGGACAATAAAATGTTAGCTTATGTTATAAAGTGATTAAAATTACTTTATTTAAAACATGACATATAGATGATGTGTATAAAAAAAATCTCGAATGTGTATCGCTCATAAGGTTTTTTTATAAAAAAATAGCATTTAATAAATTTATTTATCACTAATAATAAAACTTAAACGAATAATATAAATTCCAAAGTATCAATACTCGAGTCCGGAAGCCTCACCCGCCTCGCAGACGCCGGCGCGGCCCGCGCGCCCCGCCATCTGCCGGTAGGCGGCCAGCGACAGGAAGGCGCGCGCCACGCGCGGCGCGCGCACCACCACGCGCCGCGCCGGCAGGTTCACGCCCGCCGCCAGCGTCGACGTGCAGCAGATCACCGAGATCACGCCGGACCTGCAGCGTCAAACGTATCGTCAACACTGAAAACATAATAACTAACGATGAGGATCAACATGAAAAAGCAATTAAACAAAAAAATAAACCAACAAAGTGGATATTCTAGTGTACCCTCTCTTATCTCTTTAAATCTCATTTTGCAATAAGATCAGAATTCGATACTTGCGGTAAAGAATTAGACATATTTTTACACATATTTTTGGAGGTGAAACACCGCCAACTTTTCAACGCCGGAATTTAACTGACATTTTCCCAACAGAAAGACGCAATAATTAAAATTGATACGACCCGGGGGTACACACTAGCCACTAGACTACAGAGGTAGCTAAAACACCCATATTAATATTATAAATACGAAAGTAACTCTGTCCGTCTGTTACGTTTTCACGCTTAATCAGTTAAACCAGTTTAGATGTGGTATGGAGATAGTTTGAGATACTAGGAAGGACATGGGATAGTTTTTATTTCGGTAATCATCCCATAAAGGGGTGAAAAGGGGAGGTAGCAATTTGTATGGAGTATCAATATTTTTTCAAATAAAGAATATATATTTTTTAAAGTACTTACCTACTTTTCTATACCTTATGTACGTATGTACGTATGTACATATATATAGTCTACACTGTACATAAACGAAAAACTTTCTTTCTGACTTTCCTTACCTGAATGCTTGCTCGAGCAGCGCGCGCTCCTCGGCGCCGAGCCCCGCGTGGTGGAAGGCCACGCCGGCGCGTGCGCCCCGCACCTGCGCCGCGCCCGCGCCCTCCGCGCGCAGCGCCTTCGCCAGCGCGCCGCGCTCCGCCGCGCGGTGCTGCGCCATCTCGCTGCCGACACCATATCGTGATGAGACATCGCTTTATCGTGCTTACTGACTCGAATTGTATATAAGTATATTTTATTGAAGTAAAACTTCTTTACGCACGCCCGACTTGGGTAAGCTGGTAAATACGTGACGAGAGCGTTACGAAAAGTGTGATCGGGCAAGGAGAACGTTTGCTGCCATGGTAAGCGTTGTTATTGTCTGACAAATGATATATAATATTACTAGCGACTCACCCTCGCTCCGCTCGGGTTCGTCCCTGGGGTGGGGTCTGGGAGGACCACCCTTATCCTTATCACATAGGGGTATGTAAAATAGATAGTAGCCGATTCTCAGACCTACTGAATACGCATATAAAATTTGGTAAAAATCGGTAAAGCCGTTTCGGAGGAGTACGGTAACTAACATTGTGACATGGAAATTTTATATATAAGAATATTCTATCCTTATAGTGTAATGTGTTCTAATATGCATTATTTTGAGTATCTCACCTATCCCAGCTATTTAAAACATAAATTGAATTTCATAAAGAGTACCGGTAACGTACAGAAGGTTTACTTCTTGCGCGTGTACACATTTATACACGCATTTTTTAATTTTTTAATTTTATAATATTTATTTATTTGCATTGGATATATAATATGTATATTTAAGGCATGCAACGTCAACAATGGATATTTTTGAAGTTACATTTCTTTTGGCGCGTTACGAAAGATGAATGATAAGAGTGAATTTCTTACGATACGACAGATTTAGATTACTGTATGAAGTTAGTCGTTATTGGCTACAGAGTGAAGTAAGTCGTTAAATCTCGCTTTAGTATAATGTGTTGTCTATATTCAAGATATATTTATATTCTGGTATTTCTATATACACAACACGTTTGGTTCTCGTTACTGCAGGATTATTTAAATGCCGCCATTTTAATTCAATATGGTGGACGTTACAAAATGGCAATTTATCATTTTCATAGGAACCCTTATATGGGCATTAAATAAAAGGGCTTGATAAGTAAAACAAAAGTGACGTCATTGCAAATTCAATATGGCGGACTCCCAAAGATGTCTGACTGTTTTTTATGCACCCCCATGATATGGATGAAAGGGTTTACTGAGAAAAACATATATATTTTTTGGTTTTTAACAAAAAAAATTAACATTAAAAAAACAAGCTTTTATTTAAATTCTGATACAAACTTTTCTAAATATTAATCCAGTAAATAAATTATTTCCTAGTCCAAATCTGTATGGAGTATATAGACTGGATGGACTTAGTGATATTTAGTGTAGTGTAAGTTAGGGTCTGTAGCAACTCACGTCCTCTGCAGCCGGCAGAGCAGCGCGGCCACGTTCTCGCAGTTGCGCTTGGTGGGGCAGAACACGAGCACGCCCGCGCGCGGCGCCACCTCCGCCACCAGCCCGCCCAGCCGGTCCGGGTCCAGGCGCGCGCCCGCCGCCGAGTACTGCCCCACACGCTCACCGTACATACATACACTAGGCGACCGCACAATCGCCTCATGCCGGCTGTACGCGCTCGTCGAGAGCCCCTCGCCTAGACTCTCGAGCTTTTGGCGCTCTCAGCCAGGCCTATCAGTATCATGGACACACTCGTTGTATCAGTTGAATAACGAACTCCGTTCACCGTACATGCCATGATGGACCTGGATATTGCTGCTTCCTCGCGTAAACAATTAGCAGGCAACTAAACAAACGAGTGTGTACATGTTCGTTCTTGTTTTCCCCTCGAGACCAAATGAGACCCTTTGACTCGGATGCTAAATCGACACGCGAACTAGAGGTGTCGAGGCGGGCAGAGAAAAAGGAAGACGAGATGAGAACTCCATGTACACTCTCACTCTCGGCGTGTTTCGTGTTGTCTCGGCGAGTGTGTACAGCCGGCGTTAACCATATACGTAAAGAATGAACTGAGCATTACTCTCATGAAATTGACCACTCTCTTGAAAGAGAGAAGGCGAACGTGCGCCCAATACCTGTATTTTATTCCAATTTCAATTTATAGTTGGAATGTAAACAATTAAAATATCATTGAAAATTATAACGAAATTGAAAATGGTTATAAGTATCTATGATAGATATTTATAACCATTTTCAATTTCATTCATGGTATTTTACTTGACTTACTAAGACTTATAGCCGCACATTCGTTTTGGTTACTGTCGACATTTACCTTTGCGACATTTTTAGCTGACGATTGGCAAAGATACACTCAATCCACTCTCTAAGTTTATGATTTCAATAGACATGGCAAATAAAACTTTTTTTCGGGTTCAATAATTGTATAATAATGACACAATTCACACGTTTAAGTCCCGTAGTGTGATTATTATACATTCATGGCAATTGTTTTATATCCCAAACATTACCCATACTTCCATCAAACACAGTGAGTTATAATTATAATATAACATATAGACAGACTTTCTAGCAAATATTATTAACAGTAACATATGTATGTGTTAGACAAAGTCATGAACTATCTTAATACAACATATTATTTAAATCGCGCCACTTCAGCATAAAAAATTAAGAAACATACACACAAATTTACAAACCTTCGCATTTATTCTATTCATGGCATTAAAATAATTATATTTATTTAGATCATCATATATCAAAAAAATACTCCTGTAAATTAGTATAATATGAAATGTGCATGCTATACCTATACTTTTTAATTTATCTAATATAAATAAAGTTAGCTTACATTAAAATTCAACTGTCTATCTGGTACAATCTTTAGCCCGTTATTCCATAGTATCTTGTACAGGGTATCACCAAGTTTCACATACTCAGTCAGCTCGACAGGTCTAAATTGCTTCTCAAATACATCTGCATTAAGAAACTTGGCTAAATCTGGTAAATTACCTATCGTAGCACTCATACCTACTATTTGAATTCCTTCTGTAAAAAGAAATAATTTACATTATTAAATATAAATATGAATAGATTTAAGAAAAGGCAATATTAATTTTAGATACATAGCAATTTGTACATAAATCCATACTTCATATTGTAAATGTGAAAATATGTTTGTTTGTTTGTCCTTCTTTCACGTCGAAACAGAGTGACCGATTAGCATGATTTATTGTGTGAAGAAAAAGTTGGAGGGCTGGAGAGTGACATATGATACTTATTACCGTGGAAGATTATCTCATTCCTATGGGAAAACACGTTATAATATAACCCACAACAATTTATCATATTATCTATGTACGTATATTGTATATATATATGATATAATATACTCTATCTATTCCATACTAACATTTAAACCGTCCTAGGGACAAACCTGAGCGAAGCGAAGATGAGTTGCTAGTTAGTATATAAATTAATAGCATCAGAAAATGCCAGACAACATTAACTGGAGAAAAAATTGGGTCATAACTACTTATCTATTTTATTTAAATATAAAACTCACGATTAGCAAATATCACAGTGGTCAGCAACATTTCCAGTGTGCTCCCTCGCCCAGCCTCTCCTATTAAATGCAGTTCATCCACCTGTAAAATAAATTAAACGATATGAATCCATATTAATTAATATTATAAATGTGAAAGTTTGTGAGTATGGATGTTTGTTACTCTTTCACAACAGAACGGCGGAATGGATCTGAATGAAATTTGGAACAGAGATAGATTATAGCCTGGAATAACACATAGGCTACATTTTATCCCGGAAAAATGTACGGTTCCCGTGGGATAGTTTTGTTTTTGTTTTCCTAGAGGTGAACCCGAGCGAAGCAAGGGTGAGCCTCTAGTCAGTTATAAAGAAGAAATAAAGCCACATTTATTGTCTTTATTTTTTCTAATCTGAATAAAAGGCATTATTTTTTTATGTATTTGCTATACACACTCTTATATAAATGGCAGTAATGTTGGGTGAAATATATGTTCCTGTGGGATAAAATTGATTTTATCGAGAGGCAAACCCGAAGAAAAGTGAGGGTGAGTTGCTAGTTATTTATAAAATATATAAATAGCATGTTTAGGCATTAAAATATAAATGTTACTTACCACTATTAAACCAATTTCATTCAATCTGTTTAACTCAATTAAACTTCTGATCAAAGCCAATCCCTTTTCAATGGTAGCAACATAAATACTATTCTTTTTACGCCTTTTCTTTGGTGGTATGTGACCTTTGCCACCCGTATATTCTTCTAATAAAAATTCTAGTTGAAGGGCAAATGGGGACAAGGACCAGATCTATAAAGTAATTTAAATTATTATAATAATCATTTCTTTAGTTAACAAAAGTAGAAATCTAGAAGTTGTAAATAACACAATTGTATGACGACATTGCAGTGACAACTATTATTTGCGGACTTACTGAATCCTCTGTTCCACAAGGAAAAGCATGAAAATAGGAAAAAATTACCACACTTGTGTGTAATCTTATATTTAAAAAAAAAAACTAGAAAAAATTGAATTCTCTCCGATTCTTACCTTTTCTTGTACAATTGCAACATATGGTAAAATGAACAGTGCATTCTGTTTTATATTTAATACCTCTCTCAACATCAATACTTCTGCCACTAAAGTTTTTCCTCCACTTGTAGGTAAAGCATATATTAAGTTCCTTCTTTCTTTTATCGCTTTTAAATTTAGACACTCTTCCTGCCAGTCTAAATTATTAAAATAAAGAAAAAAAAAGAATTGTTACTTTTTCAAAAATTGAGAAAAACAAATATTTACCATAAAGCTTTTCGATATTTCTATATGATTTAAACAGTCCCTTTACAATCATAGGCAATCCATAAAAAGTATTAACGTCATGATTTATTTCATTGACCACTGATTTTGAAGCTTCATTTTTTGAATTTGATTGTTCTGCGATTATACCACTTTCTCTTATATCTAATAAAAATGAATCTTTTGTTTCAAATAAGGTACTTGTTTCATTATTTCTATTTATATTTATTATAGACTGATGCAATACATCAAAACTCTCCTCAACTTCATCTCGTAACTGTTTCTCACATCTACCAGTTAGAATATTACTACTAATTTGTTCCTGTGCACAGCTAGGTTCCAACTTAGATATAAACATTTCATTATTAATTTCATCAACAGCTTCTTCTAATTTATTATCTTTAAATGAATCATTATTTCCAGCTATAAAAGATTCCCAATTTTCTACATCTTTAAAAAAACAAGAATCAAAGACACCAGGAGAGCACGGTATATCAGTTATAGAACCATCGTTTCCTGAATCGCATAAATATTCTACTTGATTGCACGGTAAAGGTGGTGACTCGCATTTATCAGGTACAAGAGCACGACTCGTTGTAGCGACTCGTAAATGAACAGGAGAACTGTTTATAAAAGAATTGTTATCTTCCTTAGCCAAAGTTTGAGTCAGTCTTAGGCGATTTCGTAGTCCAAGTCGTCGACGTTTCGGAGTTGATAATTTTTCATGGCATTTTTCGTTAACAGAATTCATTCTTCATCTTAAATATTAATTCATTGTCATTAAAATATAATAATAAATAAAAACAGCGTCAAAGAAAATTCAAATAAAAACACCACAACACTGACAACAAACCATGGATGAAATATGAATTGTCAATTGACAAATCAACAAACTATAACAATTTGACAGACAAGTGTTGACAGCTTCACAATTAACTCTTGACCACAGAACACTTTTACTCGGAGCTCATGACTCAAGAAGTTATCGCATGCGAAATAAAGTGTTCCTAAGCGGCACTTTTAGAAGCCACTAAATAAAAGAATTGAAGTTATATAACAAAAAAATAAAAACCGACTTCAAACAAAAGCACTAAAAAGTAAAAAATAACTGATTGGTAGTTTTCATTTACTATACATACCTAATTAAATATATTCGAAGTCGGTGTGCTTTGCTTTATATGGCCTGGCACCGATTTGGAAAATATTTGATTAGGTATGTATTTAATAGGTAGGCTTTAATTACTTAGCCAAAGCACACCGACTTCGAATATATTTGATTAGATATGTATAGTAAATGAAAACTACCAATCAGTTATTTTTTTACTTTTTAGTGCTTTTGTTTGAAGTCGGTTTTTATTTTTTTGTTAAAAAGTTTTTATTTTTCCCTTTTTAGTGCAGACAGTAGTAGCAAAGTAAGAATTCTAACTAGGCTTGTCAAATCAAACAAAACAAGCCCAAACTCAAAGTATCTACTATTAGCCGTTGAAGAGTTCCACCTATCCACCTTCTGGCCTTACCATCAGATCAGGTCAACAATACCGAACCACTGTACTATCAACGGAAATAGAAACACTTGCAAAGTTTCAAGTCAATATGACAATTAGAAGTAGGTTAAATTCATCATTAGCTATTTTTCCACCCTTAGGGGTGGTATTTTTTTTTGAAATTTAAATGGGACCAATCTGGAAATATACAATTTCAAACAACACAAAAATTGTCCAAATCGGTTAATAAATGACGGAGTTCTGAGGTAACAAACATAAAAAAAAACATACAGTCGAATTGAGAACCTCCTCCTTTTTGAACTCGGTTGAAAACTTGAATAGATTATAATTTATATATAAAATGAAATATATATAAAAATTGAATAGATTCTAATTTTACACTTGGATATATTTTTTCTGATAACGATGGTCTTTCTCAAAAGATATCTCTGGGAAATTTAATATTTTAGCTTAGGATATTTCACAACTTTTTTTAATAATAGAAACTACTTGCAAAATTTTATGTGCGACCGATTAAATGACCCTAAATTATTTTAGGCATAATACAAGTTAAACAGCTACGGGCTCCCACCCGGTGACGCTGTCAAGGCCAGTATCTATCTATCAACAGCACTACCCATTCCGCAAAAAAGGCTACGGTCTGAGCTTGATGCCATTTCCATTTTCCAATATAAGAAGAAACTCCATCCAGCGTCAATTTCCTTCCAATTTTCGTCCTCTTTTAATCCTATTAAGGGATGCATTTTCAAGCTTATGTTTTGGCTTGTTCTCCAGCGATTTAAGCTGTTGTCAGTTTTTGGTGATAATGTTAAAGGAGACAATTTATTTCTATGAATACAGCACCAAATCATTTTACTACACTTCGTCCTCCACTTCGCCGTACGATCCTAGGTGCGAATTCCCCAGTCCCACGGTTATGTAAAACTATAAATTCTTATAGCATAGATGTCGACTTAAACAAAGTGATTTTTTTTTTCACTTTTTACCATTTTCAAAGGCTTCATTCAGCTCTGGTCTATACGGCATAATCATAAACGAATCGTTCATGGGCATAATAAACAGCGAGCGTTTAGCTTAAACTGAGCGCGCTTCTGTCGCACGCCGGCGCACCCTGGTAACAGCTAAAACCCGGCTAATTTTTTTTTTAAATAATTAGGGTTCGGTGCAAAAAAATTAAAATCCATGAAATTGTGAGCAAAATCCGCGTAGGTACCGAGGGATGCACCTAAGCGAATCCAGGATAAGTTGTTTGTCTACCTATATGGAAATACCTACAATAAGGTATTTAAAAAATTTGGTTGATATTGTGTGCAGTGTGCAATCTGTTAAACAATAGGTAATAAGAAGTGTCCGCTAAATGAATATGGACATTCGGATTTCTTTTAGTCTTTATGTAGTGTGTAGGGAAAAACAAGCATGGCGGGCCAGGTTTAATAAATTTCTGTTTAACAAAATTACACAAATATAACTTCACGAAAACAAAACATTGCGCATGTAAACCAGATTTGCATAATGGTAATTGAAAAATCAGCAATTAGGTAGTGGGTTTGTAGTGCATATTCATAGATAGCGCTTTTACTTTTCATGAATTGTTGACAACAGTTAAAAACAGTCAAAGACGCAGAAAATTGTTAGAATAATTTAAAAAAACATTGCGATATTTATTCATATTTTAGTTAACTAGATTTTAAAGATAAACTAGTTCAACAGTTTAAACAAAAACAAAAATTTCCCGAACAAGAGCTCGAATTAGCGCTGTCTAATTTATTTTTACGGGATATGGGTGTTTCTGTAACTACTATTATAGTACTAGTATTATGTTGTCTAAGGTAGTTCTTAGTTCTTACCGATCAATTAATCAATACCTTTACTTTCTTATCCTGCAGATAAAAAACGTCCCCCAGGAAATGAAAACAAATGTATGTAGTTTTATGGAAATTTACTTCTTATATTGAAGTTATTGCATTGAATTCAATATAAACATACAACATTATCAGTCAGATTTCAAGTCATTATTTATTGTATTTTTTATACCGCGAAGTTTAAAGGGTTTCGGGAAACAGGGACCGTTACAGTGACCAAAAGAGGAAATCAAGACTATTTTAATCCAAATTTTCGGAAGTACAACCTCTGGGGATAAAATATTGTTTATCCCCGGAGAATGATGTTAATAATATGAAATTTAAAAAAAAACGACTTCCAGGCACTAAAATGTAAAAATAACTAAACGGAGGTTTTCATTTAGAATAGATACCTAATCAGATATTTTCGAAGTAGGTGCCAGCCGATGCAAAGCAAATCTAATATATTTCGATACGTAAAATACATATTTACCTATTAGATATTCATATCTTAAATTATTGTCGATATTCTAAATTAAAATCCCCGTTTAGTTATTTTTTACATTTTAGTGCCTGGAAGTCGGTTTTGATTAATTTTTTTTAAAGATTTTATTTGTCAATTTATAGGACCACCTGGGAAATATACCCTTTGAAACTAATTTTTTTTATCCCAATCGGTTCAGGTGTCTTCGAGTCCCCCCCAACGTGCGTTCACCTTGTCGTGGTGGGGGGGCTCAGTAGTGCCCGGCAACCCAACCGGGCGCGAAGCCAAGAAACGCACAGGGAGGTGGCCCACCTCGGTGGGCGGTGGGAGGTGGCCCTCTTCGGAGGGCGGTGTACCATGCGGGATGCTCCTGGTACTTCTCTGATAGCAGAGTGGACTGTGGAGCAACCCCGTGGTTGTTGTGGTCTGCTTCGGCAGACCTGCCGTCGGGGCGTCGTAGTTGAATGCGTAAGCGATCCTGCGACGCCCCATTAAGACGGGGGAAGGTTTCGTTGGGTTTTAGTGGGTAGTACTGGCTTTGCCGGTGAGTCCCACACCTCGTGCGTAAATGCATTTCCCAACGTTAAAAAAAAAAGGTGTCTTCGAGTAATCGGTGAACATACATAAAAAAAAGATTCCGACGAATTGAGAACCTCCTCCTTTTTGGAAGTCGGTTAATAAAAGGATGGGCCCTAGCAAAGCGAGGGTAAATTGCTAGAATGCAATATTCGTACTATTTCAAATGCTAGTCAATATCACGATGCTGTACGGTCACTATCAAATGTATTCCATTTTGATAAAGATGCGAATAGCCACCTTTCGTAGATTCTAATCTCATCTTTAATTTAGTAATTATCTTCATAAAGGTTTTTCTTTATAGATACGCATAAATATCTATTGAATCAATAAACTATAGGCTTGAGTATTTTTTAAATATATATTTGGACACAAAACTAAATTCCAATTCATTATATTTATAGCGTACTAGCATTGCCCGAGGCTCCACCCGCGTTCACATGACCAAAAAATAAATTCTTAGGTTTTACATATTAGGGCAATGTAAAGGCATTGCAGTTTTTGTATTTTTTCTCACAAATGAGATATTTTCCCCCGGTAAAAAGTATCCTATATGTTAACCCGGATAACCAGCTAACACCATACCAAATTTCATCAAAAGTTTCCTTCCAATGGTTTTTCTGTGATGCGGTAGTAGACAAACGGACAGACCAAAATTCTAAAAACTATAGATTCGGCCTCTGTATCAAAAATAATGTTTATTTCAATAAATTTTTCCGAAAAATATTTAATGGACAGATTCGGCTTAGTTACAATTTTATTATAATAATGTATAGACATCAAGGTATACTTCAAGGTTCGATTATTCTAAGCAATGACGAATACGTTTAAGATATAGATATTTTACCACAGTAGGGATAAATTTTTCAATGTACCTACTTTATAGGTACTTTAAGTATTCTTTTCTTGTTGCTCGAAGAAAAATAAAAAAAAATAGCAATGTACCAACATCTGTAGTGCAAAAAAACATATTACGAGCATGTTATAATAAATAACATGAAATAATTTTGTGATTGAAAGTCAAAAAATATTGTTTACATATAGAACATTCAAACTGTTTGGTCCTAACATTTTATACATCTCAAAAAAAATCGTATATTAATATTCGGATATAATGTCTTCATAATATTTCTTGACAGTGATGCAGAGCAGGTAAATGCTCTGCGTAAATATAAAATGAACAGATATTATGTCAGGGAGCCACGCCCTTTGCGTCCTGCTTGAAATCGCGAGCAGGGTTTTGGTCTCTTTAGAAACCGGAGCTGGCTTTCGGCACAAAAATGACTACGGCTAAATTTAACCTGCGGGGGGGCAGCTAACGCGCGGATCACCGCCGGCCGGTCAGAGCCGCCTTGGTCGCCGCGGACTCCACATTCCAACGTCGCTGTGCTGGTCGAGCAATCGTAACTAAGTGACCGCTTCAACCCGTGCGACGTAAGTGCAGTGTAGTGAAGTGAAAAATTACCATGTACAGTGTGTAGCAACCCTTAGTGCGTTCGGAAACCAGAGTTTTTTGGAAAACTGAAGTTTAAAACGTGGGATAAAAATAATTGCAACACCAAATCGGGCTAGCGCCAAAATAGAACCACGCGAGATTACGTTACACTTGTGCACGTTACATAAATTTGTACTAAATTAATTAATTACTGAACATTTATTTTTACACTTAACACACTACACACTGTACACTGGAATGTAATTTTAGTCAAAATTAGAAAATAGTATGTAATATTTTTCTTTCTTTTTTTTCTTGAAAGAATTAGATTTTTACAAATTATAATATTATATACGCAAAAAATGTAAATTTGCATGTTATTAATTAATTTTTTGCATAGAAATAAAGAAAGTAGAATAACATAAGATGTGCCTAACTATTTTTTAAATTTTTATAAAAAATAAATAAATAAATTTAGCATACAAAAATAGACATTTTATAAGAAAATAGACACATACTAATATGACTCAAACCGTATTTTAATAATAAAAAAATATTTCTTATATACCTATTAGAAATAAAAAATAAACATGACAATAACATGGGGTAAGAAACATTTTTCAAGTATAAATATGTAAATATACTAAAAAAATAACTAAAAAAAACTATTTTGATTTTACATGTATTTTTTGTCGATTAAAAAAAAGTTTTTTTTGTTTTATAAAACTATAATTTTAAAAATCAATAAATTAAAAACCACATTTTTTTAACTATATTTTAAAAAATGGATAGATAAATATAATAAATGACGAAAGAATGAAAAAAATAGAAAAAATGAAACCATTATTACTGTAATTAGTTTGTACGTATCCTATGTAATGCTAAACTGAACGCAAACCAATTTTGATCTAACTTTGAAACTTTGCCAAAAGCCTGGCGGCGGGCGGCGGCGGGTGGCGGGGCGTGGGTGCACCTAATGGTCGGAAAGATAAAACCGCTCAAAATAGATTGAACTTCGTAAACAATGAGATTATTCGATGAATATGAGTTCTGACATGCAACCCTGCAGCTATATTAGTAACTTGGCACATCGATTTGATTAATGGATTTTATTGACAATTAGTATGTACCAAATTATTTTACGGGCAAATTGGTAGATTTAAATCCAGCCATACTTTAAAGAGCTTTATTAAGTACTGATTTACTGACACAGATAGTTTTAATTTATAAAGGAAGAACTGTTACTGTTTTTCAATACTAACAACGACAGTGGCTAATGCATAAAGCGACTCAAAGGTACACCTACTAATTTAGTAAGTGTACTATTTAGTATTATTTTAGTTTCTTAATCTATATTAAAATAAAAGATAATGTAATTTTTAATTAGAGATGTAATTTGTTGTAATTTTTTGTATGGTGTACTTCAGGGAAATCTTTTAAATCCTTAATTGCATTTCATATAAAAGAGATAAATTTTAACGTAAGACGGAATATAGGTCCCTTATTAAAATATGAATCAAATGGAACTGAATGGTCATCAAGATCGACAAAACAATACATTTATATTAAGTTATATTTTTGTTTTACAGAATAACAAATCACCAACATGTCTGACGAAGAGGAATATTCGTAAGTATATTGTGACATCTCAAATAAAAAATTCAAAATCTTCAAAATATCATTACAATCTATTTCTACTACAACTTTATTATATTGAACACTCCTTTGATATACTTACACTCTTTTGACACACACGATAGGGCAAAATGTAAATAATTAACACATTTACTGGTACAAATTTTTCGACACCCCTTCAATTATGATTTGAACCTACAATACTAACTTTTACTAATTACCCTGAAAACGGTGTTGCACCGTATTGCCCCACCATATTTACGGAACACTCTAATATCCTTTATAAATTTCACAGTGGCTCCGAAGAGGAGGAAGTTGAAGAAGAAGTCGTGGAGACGTAAGTATTTTGAACGAATAGGTACCTCTATTTGACTCCCCTAAAGTTTAGATTCATTTAGAATCCTGTTTGGTTTTCAACTTAAGCTTTAGAGGCCTAGTATCTATGCCTTGCAAGTTTTTCCAAATTTCTTTTTAGACTCTAGCAAGCCAAATTTCATTTATTAGTGTCAAAATATAAAAATTTAAAGACACACTAATTGAACCCTCATTTCATTCCATACTTCGTTTAGCTGCACGCCCTCACCAACTCCTATTATCTCTTTTGTTACAGGAAGTAAGTGGCGTGTTTCGTTGATACAACACTTGCACACGCTCGTTAGGCTAAGATTAGACTTCTGTCTAATGCTTCTGCTCAATCTTCGCTTTTGTTGCTTTCAGACTTTCGACATTCTAGAAGCTCCGCTTTCAACATGTGCTTTATTAATTTCTAAAGTACTTTCTAACATCAAACTAATATAGTTGATCTTGATTATCGGTCAACTAGAAGGTAAGTAACTGTTCGTTTCGTGTAATGCAATAAAATTTCTAATAAAATATGCTTATGTCGAGCGTTATCAATGAAATATTTTGATCAAATTTTAAATTATAAGTTTCTAATTTTATTTATTTTTTCCCTATCCGCTGCCGTTGCCGTTCCATGAAAAAGGCCCGCTCCCAAACAAGAGTGAGTATACTGAAGTTATAATTATAAACATAAGGAAAATCGCTTCGCTTTTAGTGACTGAATGTGGTCATAAAATCGATATGCAAAGGCTGTGATTGGAAACAAAATTAATCTTTGCACTGGGTGAATGAACAACCAATCAGGATATACGAAATTTAAATTGTGGTTACGAACACTAGTAACTTTTTTTATTTTGGATGCGCAAAATAATCATCTCACTGCTTTTTTTATTTATTTATCTGTGATTTTTGAAGTTGAGGAGTAGTGAAGTGTAAAGTGTAGTAGAGGCTGATTGTTATTTTCTGTTTCTAGGAGTAGACCGTCGATCGCGTAAGTTGCACCGCTCTCTGTGGTGTCACTAACTCTGTAATTCTCTTATTAACTAATAAGGCTCGGGCGCATTCAAATACGAGTACTAGAAATATCATGTCCACGATCACACAAGATCGTTAGATGAAAGATTAAACACTCTGTTCGAACGCTATTTATATAAACCAGTGGGCGTTCTATTTTTGAAAGTACCGTGTTGCGCCCGCGCCGGCCCGCTAAGAAATTAGATTTCGGTCAACGGATAACTCGCAGAGTTCTCCTGATCTTTTCCTAAGTAATTAATTGCATGATCTGACCGAAATAACTGAAGCATGGCCTACTATATATTATTTTGTATATAAACCTTTGTCCTTGAGATATAATACCGTGTTCACAGCTCATGTCCGTCTACTTGACACAGAATACAGATAAAACATTTACAAATACAAAGACACAAAACAAAACATGCTTTATTGACAAATGTTGTAATAATATTATTGTTATTTTAATGGCAAAACATACATGTAGTAAGAAAAAACTTAACAGTATATATATTTTAAGTGTTAACGATGCTCGTTGTATAACATGATAAAAGCTGATGAAACATTAACTTGCCGAGAGCAACACAATATTCTAAATAAGATATGGCAAATTAAAATATTATCAAAAATAACTTCATCGTAACAATTTGTAACGCTATATATGTATTGTGAACCGTGACAGTGACGGTTTTAATATTAACAAAAAACTTATAAATTAAATAAAATATTAATTTATTATTCAATTTTTCAGGGGTGAGGGAGACCCAGAGTTTATTAAGGTAATTATCAATCATATTGTCATATATTAATTGTAATAAGTATTTGTTTAGTATACCTACTGTTACTACTACTGACTATTTGACGACACGTTTGACTCAGTTTGTAGCGACCCTACTCGCTGTGCCAGCGGTCGTGGGTTCGAGTCCCGCTGAGGGCATTCATTTGTGTGATGAGCACGAATGTTTGTACTCTAGTCATGGGTGTTTATATTTATAATATGTGTGTTAGTTGCAAGTTGTGTAAACTATCTGGTTAATATATATCTGTCAACTCTCGTAGCTTACCATGAAACTAGATGATGCTGTGTGTTAATTTCCCAAAATATTTATTTATTTATACTTAGCTTTTGCCCGCGGCTCCGTATAACGTAGTTTATTTACGTATAATTGCCCCACTCGCAAGAAGCGCAGTGCGATGTTAGAATATGACCTTCCTCAATAGACTATAAAACGTATATTACCTACCTTACCTATATTAGCTCTTTGATAATAAACAACAAAACTTCAGCTTTATATTTTAGTATAATTATTAAATAATAATGTAGATCATAATAAAACACTCGTAGAGTTCAAAAGTTGACATAAAAGCGATAAATTACAACGTAATAAACATATTCTTTACAACAGCGTCAAGATCAGAAGCGGTCAGACTTGGACGAACAGTTGAAAGAATATATCAACGAATGGCGCAAACAAAGGGCCAAGGAGGAGGACGAGCTGAAACGCCTCAAAGAGAAGCAGGCTAAGCGCAAGGTAATTTAGCGGTACAATAATTTACATATGTAATACTTACACTAACATTGTTTTCATTCAAATGAGAATTTATTTTTACTGTTCTTGTTTTGGTAATGAAACTCTTACTAAATTCTCTTTAAAGATAACAGATCATAGACAGAGTAAGTTTTAAATTTCAGAGGCGATCGTTTTGATCATAAAATTTAAATATACAGGTATCCCGCGCTGAAGAAGAGAAGCGCCTCGCTCAAAAGAAGAAGGAAGAAGAAGAAAGAAGGATCCGTGAAATTGAAGAAAAGAAACAACGTGACATCGAAGAGAAGAGGCAGAGGCTCGAGGAGGCCGAGAAGAAACGCCAGGCTATGCTCCAGGCCATGAAAGAATCCAGCAAGACCGGACCTAACTTCACTATCCAAAAGAGGAGCGATAACGTAAGACCATATTTCATACGTTATATTTAAGTGAAATATCATAAAATCGTATAACCACAAAAACAATTTATTTCATTACTGACTATAAGCGTTATTCTACAGTTCGGCCTTACCAACGCTCAACTCGAGCGCAACAAGACCAAGGAACAGTTGGAGGAAGAGAAGAAGATTTCCCTTTCGATCCGCATCAAGCCCCTTAACATCGAAGGCCTGTCTGTGGACAAACTCAGACAGAAGGCGGTGGAGCTCTGGGACTGCATCGTCAAACTCGAGACAGAGAAATACGATCTCGAGGAGAGGCAAAAGAGACAGGACTATGACGTAAGCATAATATTATTTTGATTTTTACGAACTTCAAATGATAATAATATCAAATAACTGAGATCAAAGTTAATTGTAAAAAAACGTTATTGTCGATAACACATATGTTACTTATTTCTCTTAACGTTTTAATTTGGTTAACAGTTAAAAGAGCTCAAAGAAAGACAAAAGCAACAGCTAAGGCACAAGGCTCTCAAGAAGGGTCTCGACCCCGAGGCACTTACAGGCAAGCACCCCGTGAGTATCATTACCTACTATAAGATTCACAAATGATTGCCACTATAATTAAATTGTAATTAAATTATCTTTTTTACTATTTCTAGCCCAAAATCCAAGTTGCGTCCAAATATGAGCGACGCGTGGACACACGTTCCTACGACGATAAAAAGAAGTTATTTGAGGGCGTAAGTAAAAAAAATAATTCCGGATTTTGTACAACTAAAGTATTTTTGGGTATCACATATTTCTACGAATTGGGAGTGAAACTTGAACTTGAAGTCATTTAAGTGTCGATTTTATACAACTTTTTTTAGAAAGACGCGCTGCAGCATATTGTATACATATATGTACTTGTATATGGTGAATAAGCAGTAGAATTATACATTTAACAAACAAAATAACAAATTAATTGTAATCATATTTAAAGCAAATTAATTTAAAGTAGCGCTTAGCAGCAATAGATGACAGAATTTAGGAAAAATAGTAGATTTTAGGTTAGATTACCTTTAGGTCAACTAAAAAAATATATTTATAGAATACCGCACACAGAACAGTGCACAAACAAAACCTGATATAAACTAGAAATTTTAAATACAGGGTTACGATACTATAGCATCAGAAGGTTTGGAAAAGATGTGGAAAGAGAAGATGGAAGAGTTCATGAACCGCACCAAAAGTAAGATGCGGATGTAGAGTCATGTTGTTTTCCCATACTTGCCCCCATGAATGGCATGTTTGTATCTGCATGAATTTGCATCTCATGGGTTATCGAACACCTCTCGGATTATCAGGACATTGTCAAATAAAAGACAGTTATTTTCGTTCTTACGCAGATTTAGGCCAACTTAAAAAGCAAAATTGATAACTAATCAAAATTGTTTCGTCTGCATGATTCTTTGTTTTGTTATATGTCTACAATGAATCTAGGAAATGTGTCTTGATTAGGTATCGATTTGGCAATGTCTCAGAAGTAAAATAAGGATACACTTCGACACGATCCTTTGTATTTTAAATCCGAATTGACCCTTGTGTTAACCGTTCTTAGGACCTAGAAAAACTGAACAAGGACTTCCTTGAGAAGGTGTGGCAAGAGAGGGCCGACCAGTTTGGCGGCAGGCAAAAGGGTAAGTGGTGCGAGCGTGCCGCAGCCACGTGAGCTCGACATAAATTCAAAATTTCAACAAATTCAATCTCACTCTGTTTAGTAATATATCTTTCGAATATTTTTGATTAAATTATAAAAAAATATATATGAGAATCTAGAAGAAGTGCAAGGCATACGCGAAAATTGGTGGATAAATTAGGGTAATACTAATGTAAATGTGTAAGTGTATGTCCCTCCATGTGTTGTGTGGTAATTAATGTTCAGTATGTAGCACGTGTATCAAAACGTGTAAAACATTGTAACTAGCAAATATTTTGTTATTTCACAATCACTGCTCGTCCTTTGATTTCACTTATAAGTTATAGTAAGTAAAATATACAAACACTAAGCTTTACATGAAACATTTACACTGAACCAGAATAAATGTCAAACAACACATATTTAAAAATAAATAAGATACGGTATTACCTTGCATAACTTCACATCCACCAACTCATCAATTTTACATGTAACAGGTACACAATATAGGTTGTCAGGTCTCGGGAATTCTTGGCATTAAAAAACTATAAAAGTTATCACTTTTCTAATTTAACAGATATCATAATATTTTATTTGTTTACCCTAAGCTATATTTTTTTATATTTTAATTATTTTGAAATCGAATCTATTCTTTAGACCTGACAACACTTCCTAATAATTGCAAACTAATAAATATATAATTATAGCGAGACTGCCTAAGTGGTTCGGCGAGAGGCCCGGCAAGAAGAAGGGCGAACCCGAATCCCCCGAAGGCGAGGAGGACGTGAAGGCCGGAGACGCTGAGGAGGAGGAGCCTGTGTATGAGCCCGAGCCCGAAGAGGAGGAGGAGGAAGTTGAGGAGGTCGAAGAAGAGGAGGAAGAAGAGGAAGAGGAGGAGGAGGAAGAAGAGGAGGAAGAGGAATAAGTACGTGTAATTCTATCGTAGTGGTTTTGCTTAATTGAAATGTCTTGTATATTCAAGTGCTAGTAGGTATACAGACATTTGAGAAAGAAATGTAGCTATGGAACTTCGAGCATTATTTAGGTATATTTAATCAGACAATTTATAATTAAATAATTGAATGAGCACAACAATAAGATGACTTTGTTTACAAATCTTTAAATAACTCTGTAACATAATATTTTATAATGCTAAATGTGTTTCTAAATGTAAACGGGCTTGGCGCTAAAATAGACGAAAGCATGTTGGCACCAAAGTCCCACAGATCATATACTTGCCAAATCTATTGTAAATTATAGTCATTTTCTTTGCCATGAGGTATCTACCACATGGCAAATTGGCATGACATTAGGTTTTCTTAATGAGTAATCAGGACGCTACTTGTTTTTGGCAAACTTTGAGAATAGGTAATACTTCACGTATATGAAACAATTACTAGGCTGGCAAAGATACTGAAATAGAAGGTGGCATAACGCCAGTGAACTGATTGGCTACTGCATCATTTCTTGGTTAGACTCGTAAGTGTTCTTGTATTAATAACATATTTAATGATCTATTCATCAAATCATTGTGTCTTTTACAATAGGACTAAATACATATATAACTTTAAATAAAACTATTTTTATGGATTTTTTCGCGGATTTATTTTCATTTTTGGTTCCCGACTAGTCTCTCCCGTGACCGTTTGCTGTAAAGCATTCGAAACATCGGGAACAAAGAATCAAAATAAATCCGCAAGTGAAAACCGATAAGATAGTTTTATTTAAAAAATGTCAAATATTCGCGTAAATCTAAGAAAATACTTATTCCATATATAACTTTCTACTACCTATCTATTTTACCTTATAACGTTGAAGAATTATTATTAGGAAAACAACCAAAGTTACCTTTATTATTAAACTATTTACTTATGTACACTTATTGTATGAGATTTTGTTATTAAGGCCGGGCGCAAATTATAAGATTTTTCTGTCTATTTCTGACGTCCGCCGGCACACCCATCAGAAACTTCGCTCCAGCGAATCTGACAATGAGTTTGTTCGCGGCGTCGGCTCGACAACAGATGTTAATTTCTGATAAGTGTGCGAGATCTAGTACAAAATGTATAGAGATCAGAAAAATTTCGACGTCCGATCGGCGGCATCCGGGACTTGTCAAAATTTTGATAGTATGCGGGGTCTAGACCAAAACATATGACAGAATGCCGTACGGCGGGCGTCAGGAATTTTCTGACAGAAAATATCTTATAATATGAGGCCGGCCTAAAACATGTATGTATGTTTCAGATATAAGGAGCCAACTCAACACTCAAGCAGGGTTAGACCGCCGACTCGGAGACGCGTCGGTTACCGTTATGTAACCAATCCATTAACTTATCGCTATTATAAATTATTTTTATTATTTATACTTGACTCGTTACGTAATATGGACGTTACTGCGTCGAGGACATCTATGACGTTGCAATAAACTAATTTATTTCATAAGGCTAAGAAGTTTTATTTCACCTACAAATCTACCTTCTAAAGTTTTAAAATATTTTCTTTGGAAGTGAGAATATTATATAAGTAAATTTATCAAATATTAAGATTCTGTTTTCTTAGTTTAGTTTGTAATTTTATGTTTATTTAATTTTCGTTTTTTATATATGGAAGGTCGAAAACCTATATTGTAGTTCCCGTTGTCCTAGAATCCCGAAATTTGGCAAAAAGCAAGGTCTTACAGCACAGATAAAGGAAAAATTCCAAAAAAAAATACAAATTAAAGTTTAACAGATTTCCTACCGGAACCCTCAGTGGGCGAGTCCGACTCGCACTTGTCCGTATTTTTAAATCATCTCGATATACTTAAAGAAACTGTATGAATAAAAAAAAAGTTAGTAAAATGGTATTTATTCAATTTTTTGATTACAATCACAATCGCAACATTACATACAGGGTATGAGAAAATGGCTGCTCATTATAATTTCATTCTTTCATAACTCAATAATACTTAAAATTTAAACTAAATAAACAACTAATAAATGTGCTTTATTTACTAGGAATCTTCCGCACAGTAGCAATTGTAGGATACAACTAATCTAAACAAAAATATAAGTCATTTCTAGAATTAATATTCAAGAAGACAAACCACAAAAATGTATAAAATTTAGAAAATTAAATTTTAGTCGTAAATAAAGACATATATTTATTAAATAATTAGATTTAGATAAAATAATTAAAAAAAACTCCACCTGTGGGACTATTTTTTAATATACACTAAACAAAGTATACGAGACAAAATATATTTATTCATAAAATATTCTTTTTTTTATAGTATAATATAGTCGCTTAATTGACCACATTATTCCTTAATATGAAAAAAAAACCTCAAGATTCACAATTCGCATCTCAAAAGTGTCCTCAATAAAAGTGCACAATTCGAAATTCAGTTATTCTATTTACAAATCTCTTTTATTCATTGCTTTTCGGATGACAAAATTAAAACGCACATTGTTTCGTTTAAAAAAGTACTTTGTGTGGTGTGCGTAAGTTCGAATTTGTATTTAGACAATTAGAACTTTTCGAACGTTTTTGAATTTTATTCGTTGGTTTGACTTAACGTCACATGTCGTCACTTTTTGAAGAGATATTATAGGAAATGTGTATCTATTTTTTTATATATCATTACTATTAAACGAATGTTTAGCACAAATGAAATCTTGTGAATTGTGATACATATTTACCGTACACCTTAATTAGTATTATCTACCACAGATTATAAACGAGCGTCTCAAAAATTAATGTACAATTCAAAACAAATATTTTACAACCACAGGTGGAGTAACTAAGTGGTCCTTATGGAGAAGTTTCATGATGTTGTTAATATCATATTTAATGCAATGGAAATAAAATATAGATTAAAACTAATAAATCGGTGAAAAAGTTTTTGAAATCTGACAACAAATGTCTGAGAAATTAATTGATTAAGTTATTGCGGTCTCTCACCAAAAGCGTGACGTCATCGCATCTCACCGAGGCCGTCGCATCCCAGAACATCAGTCAGTTCCTAGTTATTTTACGTACAACTGCTTCTTTTTTATTTATTGGTAGCTATTTTTAATTTAAATTTCGATCATCAGGTCGTGTGACGTCACGTAATTATTTTTCCAAGCGTACCTTCAAATTTTCACAATTTTTTTATTTAAAATATTTCAAAAATAATTTTTGCATAAATTTTTACAATTCATAAAAATTCTCCATTGAACTATAACTACCTATAGTATAAGAAATAAGTATTGAACATGCCACACATCACGCGGCGGGCCCGGCGGCGGCGGCGGCAGCGGGCGCGCGCGGCGGCGCCTTGTGCATCATGTTGATCTTGTCGCCCAGGCTCAGCGCCATGCCCTGCGCACACAACCATTCATTTCGAAAACAATCCCCTTAACCGAATTCGGCTACGGCAGCTGATCTCTCTCGAGATAAAATAGAGCAGTTCGTATACGCGCAAGCATAACGTGCACTCTCTATTTCTGTCGCTCTCATATTCCAGTGCAACAACGCAATACGACACTCGCGATGAGAGCAACACAAAACTAGGGCGAGGCAAGTTGATGAAACACAATCAACTTTTCCACTCCCGACTGTTACTAAAAATTTCTTAACAGAAAAATTCAATAGATCGACTTGGATCGTTCCGGAACTAAAATTAGGACCTCCGAATTTAAAGTCATTCAAGGTAGCCATTAAACCACGGAGGCCTGGTCGAAAGACTAGCCCACCGAAAACTAGGTGATTACTCTCGCATCGGTGTGTCCAGTCCAGTTCAGGTGTCATGCGTATTCATATTAAATGCAGACGCCGTCACCTTGTGTAAATACAAAAAATGTATGCCTAATCCATTTAATCTAGTTTTTAATCGAGATTTCTGATTTTCAAGTTTTCAATCGTATTTAAAAACTGTTTTTTTTTTAATTTTAAAAATAAAAAATAATAATTTATAATAATCAAAAAAAATAGTCATTTTGGAAGGCCCACTACCGGACTGGGCTTAAAAGTTGCATGATGGATAGAAGTTTAAAATAGACAATTAAAAAAAAAATCGAAGGATACATATAGTTTTAAAAACACGATTAAAAATACGTTTTTAAATTTACGCGAATATTTGACATTTTAAATTATTTTTTCGGATTTTTTCGCGCATTTAAGTTTGTTGTAAAGCACACGATAAAAAACTTAAAATTCAAAAGTCTCGATTAAAACATTTCAAATATTTTTTGATGTAAAATTTACCGAGAAACAAACATTTTGAAAAAAAATTGAACTTCGACCATTATTAAGAAAGTTATGAGCAAAAAACCAATAAAAGAGTGGGTTTTTTGAAAATGCGATATTTTTGGACCAGTGATCAAAAAATCTCAAAATTTACCAGAAAGCCTCTTTTGAGAGGTACTAAAAAATACTAAAATATTAAGAAAATCAAAAATATTTTTATTGAAATCGTCCGATTTGGCGTGGAATGCCTTATGGATATGATATTATATATACGTATATAAACAAATAATATAAATACGTGTCGTTGCATGCACACGGGTGGCGCACGTACCTGCGTCTTGGCGCGGATGCGCACGTGTCCGAGCACGGGCGCGCCGGCGCGCTGCAGCGGCGTCTCGATGCTGAGGTTGGCGAGCGCGTCCTCGCCGAAGATGCTGCGCGCGTACAGGTTGGCCGCCATGAACCCGCACTGCCCGGACAGCGCCTGCGCACACACCGTTTATACAACGATCGGTAAGACTTTTTCATTTTCAACCCAAAATCTTCAAAAAGGAGGTGTTCGATTCGGCTGTATGTTTTTTTTATGTTTGTTACCTCAGAACTTCATAATTTTTACTTTATTTTTGACCGAGCGATCGAAGCGTCTCTGCTTCGAGTCTGACAAAATTTGCTTTCCTTTGTCAGTTTTGTGGTACTCCTCTACAAGTCGTATTTTACAACCAATCTGAACGAAACTTGGTATACAAGTTTTACAACTTTATACAATTTTTTGTCGTCGGGATTTTTTGATCGGAGGGATACTCCCTTCCAAAAGGGACAAAAGGGGAGCTTCTGAATATATCTACATTATGAGGTCCGATTTTGATGATTCTTTTCTTATTTGAAAAATAGTAACTTTAAGTTGGTATCATATTTATCTGATGAAAATCTGATGAGAATCTTCGGCGTGATGAGCAGGATAGCTCCTCAAAATGCAATTTGTGCTCGTGTTTAGTCATTTTTTATATGCAGAAAATTACCATCACTTACTCAATATACAGAATACTATATCAAACAAATTTCATATAATGCAGAACTTTAACTCACCAATATTTGCTATTTTTTTATTACGATAAAGTTATGAGTACAATTACTTTTAAGTCAGCGTTAGCGCGAACCGCACTGACCTTATCCGGCGTGAGGCACTTCATGTTGGTGGAGGCGAGCAGGTGCTGCAGGTACTCGCGCAGGTCCGTGATGTTGGTGTTCACCGACACCTGCGCGTGCAAACATACACAATACACCATATTACTACAAAATAAAGGATAAATATTGACGTAGGCACATATATATACACACATCCTTTTTATACTTTTCTATTTTTGATTAAGACCTTTTTTAATAGCCTTTTTTATTAATTACGATTTTGACAGGATTTTTGAAAAGTAGTAACATTAAAAGGCGTACAATTATAAGCATAATTAAAAATCATTTCTATTTTAAATTAAAAAGATTTAAATAATTTAATATTTAAAAGATCGATGCTATCTTAAACATATTACACACGACGAAGTTTTAACGCGCTACTGACGCGCATTTGATGTGTAGTGAAATTTTAAATAAACGATGCTAACGCGCGCTTATTTTATCAATCTTTCAGCCCATACAACGTTTATAAAACGCAATATGCATAGAAAGATCAGACCTTAGACCATTTTTCAAAGAATATTTGAATATCAAAAATTAAAAATTTTAAAAACCCCCGACTATCTTTGTCCAATTTTTATCACATCTCCCCGTCGTTTTTGCGTCTGGGTATAATAGAAACAATGTTAAGGAGATAGAGAGGAGTTAATGTGAGGAAAGTGTGGGTGTGGAGAACTGGCGAGTGTGAGGACGATGTGGAGGTGTGGGCGACGCACCTTGTTCTCCCACTCGAACTCGGCCCACATGTGGCGGAAGTCGGCGTCGCTGCAGGCGGCGGGCTGGATGTAGTCCACGATGTCGATGTGTATGTCGTTGAGCACCACCACGCCGCGGTCCATCGACGCGCCCGACACCTCGTACACTGCCACAGTTACAACAAACACTAGCAGCGCACTCATAGGTGGCCTTTACTGGCTTAGCTTTAGGTTAGGTTTAGTTACTTTGCATAGGTTTTAACTACACTTACGTGTAATGTACATATGTAATCTTATAATTCTTATAAATAACAATGAATGGCTAAATGTCTTGCTAAGCGCAATACTCGAGAATGGCTGGACCAATTCGGCAATTTTTTCTTAAATAATCGTTGAAGTCCGAGAAAGGTTTTTATGAGGAGAAAAATTGTAAATATTTTATGGAAAAACGTAAAATCACATTTTTCTTTTTCCTTACTTGTACTTTATTTGACAGTTTGTTTGTCTCTATGTATATAATTTATAGTCTATGTATTCCATATTAACTGTTAAAATGTACGTAGTCACTATTGTTATAAATGAGAAAGTTTTTAACTGTGCGTGTTAGTCCTTCACACTGAAACGGTTGGACTGTTTTGGATGAAATTTAATAAACAGTTTGAACACGATCTAAAGTAATTCAAGTCAATTCTCTTGTTACTGGCTTCAAACTACGCAGTTGAGCACATATTACTTCGCCAATATCACGTGGAAAAGAGAAGAAACGAGGGAAATTGTTCCGTGATTTACATATAAGTTTCTGTTAGTAATAAAATTTGTCAGAAAATGACACTTCATAGTAGTAAAACTACGAAAAATACCGTATCAATAATTTTAGACTTTGTTTTTTCCATTCAAAAGAGATCATAGAGAATGAACATCTCACCAATATTGCCGAATATGATGCCGTTCTCGGTGGAGGCGACCTTGACGTGCGCGCGGATGGTGGCGAAGTCGCGCGGCGCGAGCACCACGCCGGCCGGGCGCTCCACCAGGCGCAGCTCGCCCAGCGTGGCCAGCTCCAGCGTGCAGGCCTGCAGCGTGTCGTCCGTCTGGTTCACCACCAGCACGTCCAGCGCGATGTCGTACTGCGCCACCGTCACCAGCGCCTCCGCGTACACCGGGTCCGAGAACCCCGTCAGCTGCGTCACTTTGCGCGCGCCCGCGCCGCCGCCGCCCGCGCCCGCGCGCCCTGCGCCACGCACAACACACACACGATACCCAACTGAGTGACGTTTCTCAATAAATAGACAATGAAGTGCAACAATATTTTTTCGGACGACATAAGATTTGTAAATAATATGTCTTATAAAATACATTCAAATGATAAACAATCCCTTCAAATATTAGTTTAAAATAAATGAGGGTAAATGAGTGTATAAAAGCAAATTGATTTTAAAAATTTTCACTATCTTCAATAGTTCTCAACATAAAATTTAATTATTGTATTATATTGTAAATAAATATTATTTTAAAAAAGTTGTTGAGTTTCTCGCCGGCTCTTCTCAATAGAACTGCTTCGAGCCGGTGGTAGATTCCTCACGGACTGACTACACTGACATTCAATTTAAATTTAAAATGTAAAATTAACGGTTCAAAAGTGCTTATAAAGTCTATTTTAAAAAAATTAAATATTATGATTTGATGAAATTCTACCAAAACTCATCATACTCTTTATAAAAGAAGGTACAAAATGTATATAGATTTCATTAAACAATCCATCTGTGATATATTTGTTTAATAAAAAATATACAAGTATCTCACAGTGGGCGAAAGAAGAGTCATAATGATTACCCTCGAGCGCGCGCTCCAGGGACAGCTCGAAGGCGTCCTGGCGCGGCGCGGCGGCGGCGCCGGCCAGCGCGGCGAAGGCGATGCCGCGCTCCACGGGCACGGCGCGCGCGCGCTCCGCCGGCCGCTCGGCGCGCTCCGCCTCGGCCAGCAGCTCGGGCGCCGCGCGCTCGGGCAGCGCCAGCAGCGCGGCCAGCGCGGCGCGCGAGTGCGCCAGCAGCGCGCGCGCCGCCGGCACGCGCGACGCGGCCGCGCGCAGCCACGTCGCCGCGTGCTCCAGGTCGTCCGCCGTCAGACCGCTGCCCTCTACCGCACGAAGAATGTTACATTTTTCTTTATAGAAAATAAGCAAAGGAGCGAATGCCGTCAGCCCGCTGCCCTCTGACACACACGCAGGATGTTTCAATTTTTTTTTAAAAAAAGAGGCAAAGCAACGGACGTTCCACTTGATGGTAAATGACTATCATTAGACAAGTCTTTAATGTTCAATTGTTACATTGTTATTAATTTTAAAAATCGATTCTATCATATTACGAGTTACCATACTAATTTATGAATATGTAACAATATGCAACTTTATTTTTAATGAATTAGATTAATACCGTTAAAATAAATTTATCATGAAGCTAAAAAATGTATAAATTAATCCCTTAAAAAAATATTACTTCGACATTTTTTCAACCTGCGCCCATTCAATTGATTTTGAAGAAATTATACAGTAAAAGAAAAACAAGATTTTGTTTTTTTTTATTATGTACATAAGTAAAAAATTAAAAATGTTCAAAATATCATTAAAGCGTTTATAAAAAACTAAACAGTATTAGAAAACAAACACAATAAGAATATGTATTAAATGTTAATTAATAAAAACAAAAACATAAATCGATCCATCAAGGCGTTTACATCGTAATTAAGAAAAAACAAACAGCTGTTATTTTTGGGTATTCAAATTAATTGTTTGATCTTAAATTAAAATTGTAAATTAAAACTGGTTTCGACATCTATCGGCACTCTGAGTGTTAGCGTTAACACGTCACGTGAGCTTGTCGGTGACCACTCACATGGATTCACCCCCTATTCAAACTTGCCTATAGAAGTTTCCACTTCAACATAAGAATGTCAATAGTTACCTTTAGAGTGCTTGCAGTATGCGAGCAGCGCGGCGGCGTAGTGCAGCGCGCGGTTGGCGAGCGCCGGCGCGCCGCGCAGCGCCAGCTTGGCCAGCGCCGAGCACGCGCAGGCCGCCGTGTAGCCGTCGCCCTCGCGCAGCGCGCCCGCCAGACCGCCCGCGCCCGCACCCGCGCCCGCTCCGCCCTCCGCGCCCATCCTGCACACACGCAGCTTCAAATTTAAGGTTTAAGTTACCCATTATTATGTATTAACGTAATTTTAACAAGCCCTTAACTCTCATCGCGAGTGTCGAAGTATCGTCCCATCGCATTTTAAGGGGAAGAGAGAGTGCACGTTGTGTCTGCGCGAAAACAGACACACGCGCTACACTTTAATATCTCCTATGCAGATACTCTCAATGAGACTGGCCGCCGCGGCCGAAACCGATCTCGAGGACATTATTATGTTCATTATAAACATAAATAACGTTCATAAAAAAAACAACACTTTCTATTTCTTAAAAACCCACCAAAATATATTCTAAAAATAATTAATTATATAATTAAAATCAGATTTATTTATTCTCTTTAATCACTAATCTTACAATTCAATGTTGTTTGAAAATCACAAAACATTAATACAAATTGTTGCCAATATTTTAAACTAGATGGCAGAAGAATCGCGCGCCCATAAGTAGTCAGTGTGATACGGTGTTGATACGTTCTAGTTTGCAAAGTAATGGTTGTAATGTTAATTTCATATCTTATACATTAAAAATAAAACGGTCATGGTATGGAACGGTGTAGAGCGTAAAGGACTTAAACCGTACCTATGTAATGTATATTCGCCATGATTTGCATCATACGTAAGCTTAAACAAAAATGGTTACATATTTAATAAAATGAAGTAGTTCAGAAACATCATCAGTATATCCTTGGCATTACACAAACGAGCGAGAAATTATAATATAAGCAAATGGCACCGACCAACACAATGATAACGACGATTGCTTGTTACATATAAATTACACAATAAGAAAATTATTTACAAAAATAGAAAAAAAAACCCCGACTGTGTAAAAAACGAACTGAAAATATGAGAACAAGTTGACAAAATAACATAGTTTTATGCAATCAGAGACATATATAATATGTATGTACACTTAGCAAACCTCGTAGCTAGTACAAAACATACATAATTTTTTACGTAGTCGGATATTTTTAACACACAACCCTCCTATCGCCGCAGTCGGATAAAAACTAAACAATAATGTAGACAAGCAAGTTAAAAGCAACACAGCCAGAGATCCCAAAAAAAACTAAAATTTAGGTACTTATACTTATTTAATTATACTTAAAATTACAATTATTATTAATACGCCTACTGCTTACGCGGTATAAATATATAATATTATAATTTATATATTAATGCGAACTTCTATAGGAAAAACAAAAGTGTAAAGTTACGTTATGACGCAAAAGCAAATGTTTGGGAACGTGGGAATGCTGAGTGGCTATGCGCTGCGCTATAACAAGCAGGATCAACACAACACTACACACAAACGGTGTACTGACTTGGGCAAGTTGAAGGCGGACTGCGTGGCGTAGGCGCCGTCGCTGGTCACGAGCTGGCGCGCCGGCGCCTCCTTGTCCTTGTCCTTGGCCGCGCTCTCCGGGGACTCCTCGTCATCCTAACAAATGTTTGTAATTATAACTTTTTGCATACAAATACTTTATTTAAAGGAGAGTCTAGCAATGGGACGTCAAAAAGATTAATGCAATACAATATAGATCATAATTATATCGTTTTAGGTATATTACAAATTTTAATAACGTGATGCGTCTTCTTTAATATGTACTTGAAATTATTAACTTTTAATTGTCAATTTTATTGGTATACTAGCGACTCAACCTCGCTTCGCTCGGGTTCGTCCCTACTTACGTTTTAACGTTTAGTATAAATTTCTCACAGATAAGATATTTTCGCGCAGTAAAAGTATCCTATACGTTGACCTGGACAATCAACTATCATTATACCAAATTTCCATATAATCCTTTCAGTGTTTTTTCCGTGATGCGGTAACAGACAGACAGACAAAAATTCTAAAAACTATAGATTCAGCCTCTGTATCGACAACAAAGCCTATTTCAATGAGATATTTCAAAAAATATTTAATGTACAGATTCGGTTTGGTTACGATTTTATTATATATATAGGAAATACACATTTGTGATGTATTTAATCAGTATATGTATGTGTGTGTAGACAGAGTACGCACGCGGCGGTCGGAGGGCAGCGCGGGCGCGAGCGCGTCGAGCGCGGCGGCGGCGCCGGCCGCGTCCTCCGCGAACTCCGCCAGCAGCCACAGCGCCGCGCGCGCCGCCTTGCCCGCGCGCACCTGCCCCACGCACTCCAGCAGCTTCTGCAAACCAATAGACCTCGTCATTATATTAAACTTGAGATGAATACACTCAATTTTCTACAAAAATATGATGAAAAATTCGCCTATAATATAAAAAAATATAAAATAAAAAATAAAATCATGAGCAGAATTTTCAAATAAATTAATATAATGGAAAAAATATAATATTAAAAAAAATTAAATGTGGCACTTGGAGACTGCCGCGATAAAGCTATTGCATAGCATTTTTTATCAACTTATGCAATTATAATTATTTATTTATTTTATTAGTATTTCACGCCATCTAGTTCCATGGTAAGCTACAAGGCCTGTATTATGGATATCAGATAGTTGATACACTACACATAATATATAACTTTAAATACATACATATTATAAATATAAACACCCATGACTGGAGTACAAACATTCGACAACACACAAATGAATGCCCCCAGCGGGACTCGAACCCGCGACCGCTGGCACAGAAAATAGGGTCACTACAAACTGAGCCAAGTGTGTCGTCAAACGTGACTTAAAACATAAATATCAAACTACTATTTTGTTTTGTTGCGCCATCTAGTGACCATATTCTTATAGCTGTGAATAAAAGTAGCGTAAGACAGCTAGTTCGTAGTTTTTATACAAGATGGCACTAGCTCATAAAAAAAATAAACTTTCTCACAAACAGCTGATTACGGTAGTTTTCCAATACAACCAATGCCACCTAAAGGCGGGTTGCTGAACTAAAGAGACAAGCGTGATATTTCAAAAAGTCATTAAAAGTTCTGGTATTTATCGATAGATGGAAAAACTAAAAAGTATCACCGCTGTGCCGGTCGGAGTGGGGGGTGTCAGGTTTTTTTCGTTACGGAATTTCTGGATTCGGTCCCCACGCTCAAGGCCCGCGAATGAAGCTATGCAATAGCTTAAAAAGTGTTACATGGACATAACAGTCCACGTGACGGTATGGTGTGTATAATGTGGTGGTGGCACCGACCGCGTATATCTCCGGGCGCAGGTCGGCGTGGCGGTGCAGCGCGTGGCGCAGGAACAGCAGCACGTCGTGCGCGTGCGGCGCCGCGCCGTCGCCCAGCAGCTCCAGCAGCGCCGGCGCCACCGCGCCCGCCACCTCCGGGAACTGCGACACACACGCACACAATAGTAACTTATTTATATAATGTACAATCGATGGAAGATCTATTCAACATTGTTTGCGGATTCTCAGGCAACAATTAGTTATAGATATATCAAAAAAAAATTATTTTACTAGCCAATTCACTCTCGCTTTGCTCGGGTTCGTGCCTAGATATGTTTTGACGATTGGAATAAAATGGATAGAATATTATATATTACTAGCATTGCCCGCGACTCCGCCCGCGTTCAGATGATCAAAAACCAAACTCTTAGATTTTACATATTAGTATACTCTTACATTGCAGTTTTAGTATTTTTTCCCAGAAATGAGATATTTACCGGCGGTAAAAAGTATCCTTTATGTTGTCCCGGATAACCAGCTATCACCACACCAAATTTCATCAAAATCCCTCCAGTGGTTTTTCTGTGATGCAATAACAGACAGACAAAAATTCTAAAAATTATAGATTCGACCTCTGTATCGATAATAATGACTATTTTAATAAGATTTTCCAAAAAATATTTAATGTACAAATTCGGCTTAGTTACAATTTTATTATATGTATAGATATACATAAGTATGATGAGTTGTTTTAGGTTGTATTATATCGTGTTTTCCCGTGGAAATGAGATAACCTCTCACAGTAAAAAATAACCCTAACTATCCCTACACAAAAAAAAATCACACCAATACTTCACTCTGTTTTGATGTGAAAGAAGAACAAACAAACAAGCAAACACACTTTAAATTTATAATACTTGGTATAGTATGGATAATACACACCTATTTTTTAGCTGACCACCTTTTATTTATATAGAGATGTCACTCTGTTACCTCGAACATAGTTTTAAACCTGATTCACTGTCGACTAAGCGTTAGCGGTTAGTGTAAGGCGGCATACCTTGACGGCGGCGCGGTGCATGGCGCGCACGAGCAGCTGCCGGTACTTGGCGGCGTCGTCGTGGTCGGCGAGGTGCGCGCGCGCCGCCTCCTTGCGCAGCGCGGCCACCAGGTCGTGCGCGTGGCGCGGCGCCGCCAGCTCCAGCGCCAGCTGCAGCGTGTGGCGCCGCACGTCCAGGTCGCTGGCGGCCAGCACGCGCAGCACGTCCATGGCCAGCTCGGGCAGCGCGCGCGCGCCCGCCTCGCCGCTGGCCGCGCGCAGCGCGCTCAGCTTGCCCACCACGATCAGCTTCACGTTGTTGTCGCTCTCCTTCACTATGAGGTCGATGTAGCACGCCGCTGCTGCCTGTCGTTAGGATATAAACTACTAAAATATGAAGTCACTTGAGGTTGTACTTAAACAATATATATTAATTGTAAACTGATAAACAAACCAACAAACAAACTTTTACATTTATCAGTATAGTGTACTCATAGTAAAGAAAAAAAAAACCAAATCCTTTTTTTTTAAGTTGGTTGAAAATAAGTTAGCTTTAAAGAATATACCAAATTACATCTTTTTTTCTCCAATCAAAATAAACGAATACTCGCGTGACCGTAAAGAGTTTTATCATTTCTATCAAAAAGGCTGAGAGAGAGTAAAATATGAAATCATTGTGTAAAGTGTGAGTGTGAAATGAGTGTATAGAGTAGTGTGAGTATGAGATGCGTGTATAGTGGCGAGAGTGCGAGATGAGTGTGCAGTGTGTGTGTGTTTGTGTGTCACCTTGATGGCGGCGGGCGCGCAGGAGAGCGTGACGAGCGTGCCGGCGGCCTCGTAGCGCACGGCGGCGCTGGGCGCGTTGAGCAGCCCGTACACCGTGCGGATGAACCGCGACCGCTCCGACGGGTTCGCGTGGCACACCTGCCGGGCCACGACCGGTACACAACACATGTTACAGTTATATTTACATACTCAAATAATGAGTTACAGTGCCACTGTTCATTTTTGGTAATATCATATATGTACAAGTTACATTCATTTTATTGCTTTTGAATTCAGTTCAACGTTTTTAGAATTTCAAAAAATTACTATTGAAACCCTTATTACTGTTACGAAATTATGACACTTAATTTTGAATCCTTTAAAATTATAACATAGATAGTACAATTATGTACTTTTAATTAAAAAAGTTAAGCCAATCTCAAAACCAATTTCAAAATGACTGTAAAAATAAATTAATTATTCTCCTTTACCAATACAGGTGAAATGGTGTTTTCAAAAGTGCTTTATATAAAAACAATTATGCAAATCAGTTCACAATAGACAAAGATAGTTAAATTACAATAAATTATTATACTACAAATTATCATATTATTATGTTCTAAATATAAAATGAAATTTACAAAAACAGCAAAGGGCTAAAAACAAACACCCACCTTATATATGAGCTCCACAATGACCAGCTGCAGGATGTCCCCGAAGCCGTGCACGTGGTCGAGGCGGTCGGCGAGGTAGGCCAGCGCGCGCTCCTGCTCCGCGTGCAGCAGCATGAGGAACGCGTTGCGCTTGCACGACATGTCCTGCTCGCCCTCCAGGAACGTGGCGATCAGCTCCGGCGCGTCGGGGATCAGGAAATCGAAGTTACTGGACATTTGTACATACATTTATTTATAAGGTTTATTTACAGTCACTTACAATAATACATAAAAATATAAAAAGTAGAACTAGGAACTAGATGTAGTGATTACTCACAAATAAACACAGCATGCACAGAAAAAAGTTTTTAAATTATTATACAAAATATATTCTAGAAGTAAGCACTGTTCTTTTTTTATTAATTAATCATTTTTTTAAGAGTAGGCACACAGTTACATTAATCTAATGAACATAACATTATATAAGTAAAGTTAAATAACAATATATCATGTTGGTACAAATTGTTTTGCGGTATACATAAACACTAAGAGATGACTTAAAACATTTGTCATCCTATTTGATCTGTGTTTTAACTAAAATTGTTTTTTTTTGTGTTCCCGTTGTGTCTGCAATCAGTATCTACATTTAGATTTTTTTGAGGAGATTGGATTGTTATTATGCATGTCTCTTTCAGTGAAGACATCTCCTTGTGTAATCAATGGTTTTTGTTGATAGAATTATTATATTATATCCTTAGTTTTTAGCCTTTTTATATAGTTTTGGCATGTCAAGACTTGGGATGGTTCTCCAATAGTTTTTTTTGTATTTTAAAGACGTCTTTGTGATTTTTTCCTTAACTGTACTCATTTGGAGGTGTTCATGTATTTCTTTCGTTTGTGACTAGCCAAGGTACTTGGGATATCGTTGCTATAATAATATTCTGCATTTCTTGCAATATGGAGATGTTAGAATTACTGGCACTACCCCATAATTTGATTTTATCATCCTTCATCCTTATTGGTTTTAGGACCGATTTAAAAAAAAACAATTTATAACACTTTTGTCTTTATGCACTTTATTGTATTAATGTATGTGTCCTTAAAGAGACAAAGTGTGTATGTTTTCATTATGATTAGACCTTTATATCTACTTATTATAAGTTGTCTAATGTCTATATATTCTGCAGCCTACTAATTTTTTATTTTTATCAAACAAAAATGTATGATCAACTTACCGATAAATAGTAAATATTGCAAGCACAGCATTCCTCCTAACATAAGAGTGACGATGTTCCAAACATGCCCGAATTGCTGGCATTAGGGGCTCCAATAGTTCGGGCTCCTTCAGCTTGCATAGGAACCGTAGAGTAGAACCACGGATGAATTCATTTGGATGTTGCAAGTCCTATGGATGATTAATGCAGAATTTTAATTTATAAAATTGAAGTGACAGAAACTGAAAATTTTATAAAAATGGAGATGCATTATGTTTATGGCACATGTATACAAACATAGCAAATTATCTCAATTATAATTTTCTATAAAAAATGTGTTTTTTTTTTACCTTTCTATATGCATCACAGACAAGGATCATCTCTTGCATCAGCTTGCCATCAGCAGTTGTCTTGGGCACAATTTCCCAGAAGATTAGCAAAAGTTTTTTAATAGTATGGTCTTGCAATGGCAGCACAAATCTGATAATAATCATCAAGAGGCCAGGAATCTTCTCACCAGAGAGTATAATGCTAATTGTTTTCTTTAGAGCCTCAATCTTCTTTTTAATGTCCCCCTTTTCTATTGTAGATAAGTAATAAAATATACATAATAAATAACTTTACTTTGAAATAAAACGTAGATAACCATTTAAATTTAAAAATCCTCTTAAAATACTAGTGAATAATCTTACCAAGATCAAGCTTAAGTTGCATTTCATTATGGGGCTCTGAATCTGTAGGAAAGTTGATAAGAGTGTAACACGGTTGCTCTACACCCCCCATTATTCTGGAACAATATTTATCACTGCATATAATATGTTGATTTATATGTATTTAGAATGTTAATTCCTCCACGGCTGCGTAGATTTCTAGGAAATTTAATTAATTTCTTAGAAATTTTATATAGTTTTATTTTCTTTATATATATATATATTCAAAGTTAATGTGAATTGTACAGATTAAAATATATTATTACTATAGACTTTATGTTTTATACTTAACAATCAATTTGTACATTTTAAATCTAATAATAATGCATTTTATATTTATGTTTTCTTTGATTTTTATATAATTATATGTACTATTATGTGCAATAATATAAAATCTGTGGTTAGTCATATTAGATTACACAAAATATTTCATAAAAATAAGATATAACGTAATTACGTCATTTCATATTTTATAAATAAAATTTACAACCGCATTATTTAAAAAGCAGCAGAAGAAGAATAAAAATATAATTGCTTATCACTTCATCACAATCAAGGGGTCCGGCTTTGTCAATTTTTACCTTTGATATACTCGTCACTAGTATATAAGTATATAATATGTATAATAACTAGCTTGGTTGTTATATTTCGGATATTTTTTTAAGAATATTTTAAATCAATATGATGAAATATAATTAATAATACACAATTTTAATACGTGTCCACATTTCCACATCAAACATGACAAGCATGACAAATACAATTGACAACTGACAAGTCACGTCACAGACACAGTGACAACATTTTTGACATTTCATATACATTAGGGATGTACACGAACAATACCACTGAAGTCGCCCTGTTTTCTAATGGGGAAGATTTCTCGAAAGGGTGCCAACAGTATGGCCTATTTACATTCAGTCTGAGGTTAAGCAATTTACTATGATATCTCTTTTGTACCTGGTTTTTGCTTCTATTGTGTTCGCATCTTACCTGTGCAATATATTGTACCTGGAAGTTAGACCAGCTGAAGGAAGAATTCAGCAAGAGAAGTGCATCCTGGTTCCTGTGGTGGTGCTGACTGACTGATGGATCTACACACAGCCTAAACTGCTGGTCGTAAAAACGTGAAATTTGGAGGGCGTATTCCTCATATGATGTAGACATTCGATAAGAAAGGGTTTTTCAAAATGTATGCCTCCTTTCAAGATATCTTCCCATTCTTTATTACTACATTAAATCTATGTGCTATGAATCTATGTGTATTCTAGTTTATATATTATCTATAGTGAAAACCGAAAAATAAATCAGAAAATGTCAAACCATTAACCAAACGTCAAAATCAGTTGTGCGAATCGAAAATGTTAAATGTGTATCGGAGACTATCAAAATAAATATATAATATCGATCAATACATCTGCATTATTCTGGTTCCGAGTAGACACCTACGGGCTAAGCATATTTAATATTACGTACAAATAACTAGGCCGTTGAGTTTTAACAATTTTTCAGAATGGATATACTGATAACGCTTTTTTATATTCTTTTTTCGATTTGCGTTGTTTATCCGCCGACTGAATTCGTTTCCGCTGGTTTCACAATACCACAGCTTCTAGATAACTATCTAGGATCAGAAAATGTGAATTTCATCGGTTACCATATGAAGAGGACCACCATAACTGCATTGATTCATTCGACATTGCCTCTTGGATATGTATTTACACTTTGGTGTGGTGGTGAGAGAGGCCAATGGATGTTACCATCAGCTTTTGCAATGGCGATCATACCATTACTAATGTGCTATAAAATAGTCTGCTGGTGGGAGTATGATAAGAGTAAACATCCTATAGTTAAGGCTCTATCGCCTTATGTGACTACAGGAAGTGATTGGAGAGTAGTTGCTGCTAATTTCAATACTGAATACAGAAGGTAATACTGGCAAGAGAACCATACTTGATACAAACTTGTTAATGGTACCATTTAAAATTTTGGTTTGTTGCTAGGTATAACCATAATGATTCTTGGTCCCCAATATGCTGGTAATATTTTTAATTAATGTTTCTAATCTGTATATCTGTATAAATATTGTAAATGTGAAAGTTTGTGAGTATGGATGTTTATTACCCTTTCACACTAGAATGGCTGAACGGATCTGGATGACATTTAGCACAGAGATAGATTATAGTCTGGAATAACACATAGGCTACTATTTATCCTGGAAAAATTTATGGTTTCCGTGGGATAAGTATAAATATTAGAAAACAGCCTGAATTACATTGATAAAACATTGGCCATTAAAATTACATTATTTATTCTTTGGTTAATACTAGATAAAAACTATGAGAGATATTATGTAGAAACACCACCACAAAAAAACGCGTGAGGGGAGACCCTCTCTTTTTGATTTCCATTAAAAAATCTGATGATATAAATATTAATGTTCAATATAGATATATCTACATATATTAAATTAATGTGATATTACATATTTCTAGTGTGGACAAAGTATCCATTGCCTTGAGTGCCACTAGCAAGTTTGTTGCTACTCAGACTTGGCTCATCAAAGTAACACAATATAATGTGAATTTGGTCAAACAAAGTGATTGTGCTCTAGTTGCTACTGCTGTGAGTATTAATAAAAACACAAACACAACACACTTAATGATAATACTAGCATTTTGCCTTGTATTTCTCCGTGAAGCTTCATAAGCAAAGTATACAATGACAAATTATCATGAGCAATATCTGTAGATATTTGCTACATTAAAACCACAATCAAATGAAAAAGTCATTTTTAAATTTTTATTACACAAATTAGTGCTTGAAATCAGGACCATTTTGATTTTTAATTATATTCATTTATGTAGGTTATGAAACTCACATTGTCAAGGCAAATCTAACTACATAATATGTAGTAGTTCATATTATGAATCATTAAAATTGGTTAAGTCATTTACTAATTATAAAGGAACATAGAATCAAACTTATTGACATGTGGTCAAACACATAATCCACCTTTGGACTTTGCCACAGATGAGTAAAAAATATTAAATTGTAGTTGTAGTTTTTAGGTTTTCTCATTCTTATATAATTATGCATAATAATAATTATATCATATGTGATTTTTTATTATTTTTGCCTTGAACATTGAATGAGTCGACAAAAGTTTATGTAGCTTAAATATATGTTAATTTTAGCTTAAATAAATTATACAATGATAAAATTATTTACAGACTGATAGTCACAACTTCACAACATCAGGGGAAGATGAAGTGCAGTATGTTAACATAGAAGCTATACCATCTCGAGAGGATATAAAGAGGTTTTCTTTCAGAATTTCCACAGCTTCCCTACGAGACTTGCAGCCTCGATTGGAGCACCCTGTCAGAGTGCCTGAGCATATATCATTGCTGCCAACCTTGATTGAAAGATTTGTAAATGTTTTCAAGCAGCATGTTGACCAGAATCCTATTTATTATGTTGATCATGTAAGTTTTTCTTGTAGAAGATGTCAAAAGTTAGTTTAAGCTTTTATTATTTAAATAGTTTTATGTGATATAAAATATTCTAATAGGAATTAGAGCTGTGCATAGGATGCATGCAAAGTCAAGCTGATGTGAAACTGCAGCGACGTTGTGCTCCCCCACCTATAAATATTGAAGGTGGACCAGCACCTTGCCAACAGTGTAACTGCAGGTGAGAGTTATCATATTTAGGTACTACTATTCAATCATGATCATCAATCATCATCATAATATCATCATTTAATTACATCTTATTTATCATAAAAGAAAGAAGAAACCTCCTCCATCTTAATGGGGCTACGCAGGATCGCTTACGTATTCAACTACGACGCCCCGACGGCAGGTCTGCCGAAGCAGACCACAACAACCATGAGGTTGCTGCAATGGTCCACTCTGCCGACAGAGAAGTACCAGGAGTAACGCGCATGGCACACCGCCCACCAAAGTGGACCACCTCTCAGTGCGTTTCGTGGCTTCGCGCCCGGCTAGATTGCCGGACGCTAATGAGCCCCCTCAATATGACAAAATGAACTCACGTTGGGGGGAGTCAGACTATGACCTGGAGTTACACATAATATATAGGCTATCTACTATGTTAGACTCATAGGCACGAATCTGAGTAAACCGAGGGTAACTCACCAGTTATATATATGTAGTACTAGTGACTCACCCTTGCTTCGCTTCGGGTTCGTCCCTTAACAAAAACTAATCTATACCACGGGAATCGTACATTTTTCCGGGCTGATATAGAGTCTATATTATATAGCCTTGCCCAATAAACGGGCTATCTAATGCAAAGTTTCACGAATTGTTCAAATCACATTGATAGTTCCTGAGATTAGCGCGTTCGAACAAACAAACAAACTCTGCCTCTTTATAATATTAGTATAGATATGCTTTATTGTATGGCAGAGTGCTGTGGTGCTGCGCGTGCATGGCGAGGTGGTGGGCGGCGCGCGCTGCGGGCGCGCCCGCGGCGTGGCTGGCGGCGCGCGGCTCGTGCCCCGTGTGCCGCGCCGTGTTCTGTCTGCTGGACGTGTGCCCCGCGCGCGCGCCGCCCGCCTGACACGCCTGGCGCGCCTTCACGCTGCACGTGCAGATATACTGAACAGTGATGTGATAGTGATAATGTAACTGGCAATAGTATAGGTAATGTTGTGAACTGTGGAGAGAATTTGTTGGTTATTGGCGTAAGAAGTATGTGTTATGTGACGATGTGCATAGTGTAGTACAGTAATACACAGTTCTGGAAAAAGTCAGTGCAATATAGTAATGTTTATGAAGAAAAAATTGTGATGTAAACCATGATATAATAATAACATGCTATGTGATTGATATTACGTGATACTTTTTATAAAAAAAATCTATATAATCTGCATAGGTATTATCTTACTTTTTGTATATACAAAATCTGAGATTCATGTTGATCGAGGATGTTTGTTTAAAATCTGACAATAAAAGAACACTCGCAATGATTAGCACTAGTTGAGTAACACCAACAGTTTGTTTTGGTAATTTATTTTTATTTTTTCTTAGTTGTGGCTATGAAGTATCATTATGACCATGTCTGGTCTATTCTGATTACCTCATATTAAGCTATAATAATCCACTAAACCCTGCTGCTGTGATGAACTGCAGGATTTGTTTAGGGATCACTCCTTAATTTCATCTCGACCCAAAAGCTCTTTCCCAAGATGAAAACTACGCTTCTGTATAAGGGGACCACACTCCCCTAGAAGATCTAGTGGTATTTCATCTGCCTCCATACATCCTCCGCAGGTAGTGCGTCACTCAGCCTTAGGTTGAACATGTGCTTGTTAAAGCACTAATGTCTTGTGAGAACTCTTACTAGTAGTCGTAAGGTTTTTCTATTCAGCGCTATGACTAGAGGACTAAAGGTTCAATACCTTTAGTCATAGGTTTTGGTAAGTGTCTTGGAGTAAGTCATTCCTGGTGACTCGGTCCAAATTGTTTTCCTAATATCATTTACCACCTTACTTAAATGTTTTGGATCTTTGTGATGCTTAAGTGCGAAATGAAATAAACTTTATTCAATCAATTAAACTTATTACAAGCTTTTTTGTATATTTTTAAATGTGGAGAACTACATAGGTATATCAAGGGTATGTCGTAACACAGATACCAATTTTTCACGATTTCCATTTACCTACTCATTTTTCGTATATTTATTATAGCTACTTACAAATAATTGTAAGTTGTCCAAAGAATATTAATTTTGAGAGTTTTGGTTTCAAATTTAATAAAATTGAGGTTGGGTTAAAAATTATTGCAAGCAAATCAGCTGTTGATTCTGAACAAGCAATATGCAAAACATGAAACTCTGTTTTATATATACAAAAACTAACATAATATATACCTTAAACCAACGAACTAAAAAGTAAAGACATAGAAGGGCCCTTACTTTCAAAAACGTGGCAAAACTTGCATTTACACGTACTCACACATTGGTATTTGTAGCGTGAGCAAATAAATCAACAGTTTAAATTAAAATTTTAAAATAAAAACTCTTGGTATGGTATGGTATGGTATAAACGGGCTTGTTTCCGCAACTCGACGTCTGCGCGCCTATTTTGCGTGTGTGGGAAATTTTTCTAATTGTTTTATTCTTGCCAGCCCAGTCAGTCCCTCCAGGAGTTTCAGCAGTCTCTTCGTCCTACCGAAGACCTCCGGGAGTGTACTAGGGGTGCCAAGATGTTGAGCCCGGTACGCCGCTACACCTGGACAATGTAAGATTACATGTGCAGCCGTTTCATCTGCCCTCATGCAGGCTCTGCAGAGTGGGATGTCAGTTATACCTAAGTTAAATAGGTGATTATTGTAGGGTCCGTGGCCTGTTAGAGCCGCTGTTATCTGTCTGAGCTGAGAACTATTGAGATTAATCAGTCGGTTAGTCGTTTTAGCGTTAATGATAGGAAGCGATTCCTTCGCCTGTCTGCAGTCTACGACTTCACGCCATATATTCTCGTGTAGTCGTCTTGTGCGTTGTCGTATTTGACCTTTGAGCCAGCAAGAAGATAACGCCACGATGGGCTCGGGACCTATTGCGTTCAGGTCCGATCCTCTTCTTGCTAGCGCGTCGGCCCTATTGTTACCTCACGAGTTACTGTGGCCTTTGACCCATTGTACGGTGACCTCGTTTTGGTCACTTACCTGTGTCAAAGCGCTATGACATTCATAGATCATACCTGAGGTGGTAGAATTACTATTTAATGCCTGTAGTACTGACATGCTGTCTGATAGTATGTGGATAGAGAAGTCCTTGACGTCTTATTTCGCAATTGTTCTAGCTGCCTTGACGCAGCTAGAACAATTGCCGATTGTTTCAAGCCTTCCTTGAGGATACCTAGACATTTGGCTTGAAACACGGTGTTGTAGGTACCTAGGGGTATTGAAGTTTTAATGTTTAGATCGTCAGAGAAGATCCCGCAACCTGTCCCTGATTTAGTTTTTGAGCCATCAGTGTATACTCTAAGGTCCTTGCTGTCGCGACCTTCGTGTTTGTCTACCTCTAGCTCTATTTTGTATTTTTTGTCAAAAATGTATTTGATTTGTATCCCATCATTAGGTGCTCCCATGAGCGGGATGTCTTTGGCTACGTCTATCAACATTTTTGTATATGGCGTGCCTGTTTTTTGTAGCAACTTCTGATTATCTAATCTTGTTGCGGTGGTCGCAGCCTCTTGTTGGATGAACAAGTGCAGCGGCAGAAGACTTAGCATGGCTTCCAGAGCCGCAGTGGGTGTTGTTCTCATGCAGCCCGTTACTGCCATGCACACCAGTCTCTGCCATCTTTGTAGCTGCATTGTGCTGAGGTCAGAAGAGTTCTACGCCACCACACTAAGGGTAGTCGAGTACCCGCAGGCCGTCGACTAGTAGTTTACGAAGTTCATCTTTGTTTGTCTTTCGTACGTTCCTAAAGGGTTGAGGGGGTGTAGTGATTAAACCTAGTTCAAAACGTATCCATCTGTGGTCTGAGCAAGAGGCTTCATCAGACACATGCCAGTTGGATATCAATTTGGCACCCCCGTCGTTTGCTAGCGTGAGGTCAATAATGCTATTGGCACGTCTTGTTACAAAGGTAGGCTTGTTGCCTGTGTTAATAATGTCTAAGTTAATAGTTGATAAGTATTCAATTAATATCCTACCTCTGGCATTTGTATTTTCATTACCCCAGATCGTATGATGGCAGTTTGAGTCTGTGGCAACGATGATGTCTAGCCCCTCTGCTTCGCAGTAGTTGACGAGTCGCACCAGGTCTTGTGGGGGGAGGGGGGGAGGGGTCCTCTCCATCCGGCATGTAAACCGATGTAAGGACTACTTCCCGTGACGTCTGGGTTTTGGCTGTTTTTATTGTGTAGATGTCTCTGGAACAAAAGTCGGTTAGGACCTGCACAGGAATGTATTTGAAATGTAAATAGCGGCCCTTGTCTGGGGTTCGTTGCTTGTTATTAGCTTACCTTTAAGGTTGTTTAATCCTTGTATTGACCCTGACCTGGATAGCCAGGGTTCTTGGATGAAGGCTACGGCTGTGTTGTTTACCTCCAACTACTTGCGTAGCTGCGCTGTGGCGGTGAGACTGTGGTGGAGGTTGATTTGAAGAGCTCGACTACTTGGTAAAAGGGACTCTGTCATTAGAGTCGTCATCCCCTGTTCCAAGATCGAGCTCCTCCATCCCCTGGGCCCAGTCCCCGATGCTCTCCGCCTCATCTCTGATGCTCGCCATTTTGACGCTTGTCAGATCGTGCGGTGAGTCGGAGGGATCCGGAGGAGGTATGTTGTTGTACCCGCCGCTGGGGTGCTGTTTTTGATCGATCTGCTCCGTTGGGGTGCCAGATGGTTCCGTAGCCTTGCTGTTGGCATCGGCTTGTTCCGGCGGTAGTTCAGAGAACCTGCCTTTCCGTATTTCGAATTTTACGTAGACGGCGCCCAGTAGGTAGCTGAGTTGCCTTCCACGTTTAATTATTTCAGGGATCAGCTCCTCTGGTATGCTAACCACGATAAAGGTTCCTGAGGTTTGTTGGTGGGCAGTGTGTAGTAGCTTAAAAACTCTTTTTATTAATTATATTTAAAGTTTTGGATGGCACCTTGTTTGTGTGCTTGCAAGTAAATACCTGATAGCAAAAAATATTAGTTTTTTATAATGCTAATACAAAAGTAATAAAACGAAAGTGCGGGTTTTTATACTAGTGGAAGGAAAGGAGTAGATATTTAAAATTTCAGTCCAAATACTTACAGCAAATTTTTTGATCAAATAAAACACGTCAAAAAATATCAAAATTTCTTTATTCAATAATATCTATTTACGTAAAATTTATAGCAAATTAGTGTCCTTGGAACGAAATTAAATTATTATACTTTTGCCTCTTAGTAAAAAAATTTAAATCTTTATGTACATAATGAAGTCGAACATTACTATAATAATGTACAATGGCCTTTATCAATGAAATTTTGTGATTCCAGGTAGCTGGTTGCTCCATAGAATGGCCTTCTAAATCAGTAAATACGTTAGATTGAACAAAAATTTTCAGTATTTTAGTCGTCAATATATTGTACTCTTTTTCACTATGTACGTAATGATTACCTCGCAGCTTTTTGTGCTGTTTTAGAAACCATTCTGTTTTAATGCAAATATCATAGACATGCTTTGAAGAAAAAATTAAGCCGCGGAATTTTTTTAACATCTCACTCATACTTTGTTCTTCATCTAAGACACTTGATAAAATATCACTGTTTATTTCACACTGCTCGTCTTCATCACATTTCGAAGCATTTGGCGTTGGATCGAAATCACAGTCAGTGTCGCGATATCCAGACGTGGTCATGTTAATTTTTTTCAACGATGAAGAGCAATTCAAAATTGTAAAATTATCGATCGGCAAACAGTTTCCCGTAAAATTGCTTCTAAGCTCCAAATGGCAAAGTATTTTTTTAATATATTCCACGAAATTGTTCGGTTGTAGGGTTGTTGTTATGCCCTCCATGCTGTCTCATGAGATCAAAAAAGTTCTGTATGGACATTCATTAATTAATAAGGCGCTCAGT